AATATACATATCTCATTGATCATTTGAACTTGGCTAGAATTTCTGCAATAATTAGAATATTTCAAATGGAATAAAATTAAAATGTTTCAATTGTACGGAGTTAAACTTTCAGAGCAATTTTTTTAATTTTTTTAAAACATTTACCCCCACTTAATATTTCAATTAAATCCCCGAATATCACAATGAATTGCTAATTATAGCAGGTTTCTTTTTTTTCATACTAGTTCATAATGCCAACATAGAAATATATTTTCTTTAATAAAAAACAAAGGATGGAAATCAATCATTACATTAAAGATCTACAATGGTCGGGGCAGATCTGGACTGCGGGTAAAATGTAGATATGGCCGACGCTTAATAAGGAATAAAAAATTATTCTTTTTACTTATAATTTTAATAAATTCATAAATACTATTTCCTTTCTCTACGTTTTGTGTCTTGGAAATCATTTAAATTAAATCCTCATCATTTTTGTTATTTTTCCATAGGATATATTTCTGGATTTTAAAAAGGCACGTCAGGCCGGGCCTTAAATAAAAAATTGTAACCAACCTGGGAAAATGCAGACCTCTACTTATATGTACACAATATAATAAATCGTTTTTATGCTAAGATTTCAATAATGATTATTTTAAAAGCCAAACCGGGAAAATGCAGACCTCTACTTATATGTACACAATATAATAAATCGTTTTTAGGCTAAGATATCCATAATTATTATTTTAAAAGCCAAGTATATTATAATGAATGATATCAGCGAGTGGAAAATAAATATGATAAAGTATATATAACATTTAAGGCCGTGCCTCCCTTAATAAACTATTATTTTATAAATATATGTGATTGAACGAGGTCGCATTCTATGGATAAGAAACTTTTAACTATTAATATTATTTGTTAAAAAAGAGGTTTCCTAGGTTAAGTTTGGTGCCTCCAACTATTCATACCTCCTAGCACTTGTGCAAATAATGCAATAGCTATGTCCTATACCATATTTAGTTCTTTAATTTCAGAGTTTGGAATAGAGACTAGAACCCGGTGACATTAGCAATCCCTCGTAGTTTTATTTATGTACATTTGTGCAATTAAAACATTAATTATTTTGTGTTTTATAGTTATGATAAACTTCTGTGGCCTAGTCATTGAATGCGCAGTAAATAATATCTTGGTTCGAATCCAGCAAGGATTGGGTTTTTCTGAAGCTAACTAGGTGGTTGTGTGCTACAGAGTTTGATATATATAGTAGATTGAATGCGATCGCACATCTATTAATATACATATGTTCTAAATGTATTTAAAAATATGGTTTTGTTTAGCAAATTGCCATGTATTGAGTTCAATTTTTTTTTCCCCCGTTTATTTGTTACTTTATATGAGTAAATATATTAATATATTATGAAGAGGTAAAAATTTTTTTTTAGTAATTTAATAGAGTTGGGAATCAGAATCAAATTCATACTTGGTCAAATCTAGAAACTGGAACCAGAACTCATTTTATTCTAGTCTTTTTATTTGTGAATATTTGTGTTTCATATTGCACTTTTGTGGAATGAACATTTGTAAGTTGCTTGTAAGCATAAAAAATAGATAAATTATTATACTGCCTAAATTGCGGCATGAAAAGTGCTTATGTTTTGACTAATTGTGCTTTAACCAAATATCAGGGGAGTTAATTGTTAGTGATTTAAGAAAGTTTCGAAATCGTGACAAAATCCAAAATTATAAAGAATGATTCTGAGACATTTATTGCCTATTTCTGCGTTAATATTCTTTAAACCGGATATCATAGAATTAATCGTTAACGGTTATGGTCGTAATATGATGCGAACTCGGCTAAATAACTTGAAGTACAAACTCTGAAATCAGTGCAAATCTATAAGTCCTAATTTATGCCTTAGATACCAGTGGAATTAAATTAGCGAAAACAAGGTTTTGAAATTTTACTAAAAAATAATGCACCATTCTCTATGCAAAAATATTTAGTGCAAAATTTGTGTCACTCATCAAACTGGATGTGGAACGAATCAACTAAAAGTGAACTATGCAAAATAAGAAAATTCCGGGCCTATCTATTTTAAATGAATGAAATAATTTATGAATATAGAATAAATCAAATCCAATTTTTATATGTTGTTGTTGTTGGAATAAATTTTTTAATGAAATATATTTTCAAAAAAATTAATTGACATTTATAGAATTAAACTTTTAGAACAAAGCCTGATCAGCTTAGCTGATCCCATAACGGTTCGAAACCCTTTAATCCGTTAGATATTATGTGTTGAAACAATGATAAATTGCTAGTATATAAATAATCTATCTTACAACAATGGTCTCATGGGCGTAGCCAGAATTTTGTTGGGAAGGGGGGGGGTGTGTATTTATTCCTATACATTTTAATGGAGGTTTTTAGGTCCACTTATTATAGGCCTTTGGCTATGTCATATTTTTTTAATAATTTTAGTTTTTCACTTTTTTATATAAAAGTTTTTTTAAAAGATTTTGAATTATGATTGTTATTTGAAAACTTTCTACTTATTTTTCATTTAAATTATTGTTTTTAGTGACATTTATATAAAAATCTTGAGTGGAATTGGTGGGGGGGGGGGGTGTAGGAAGTAAATTTTATTAGCATAAAATGATGTACGAGAGCAGACAAGTTTCTGAAAGGGGAGTGACTGGCTACGCCTATGCATGATCTTATAAAGTAAGTTTACATCCATTTATAATAATTTGTTCACTTTAAATCTAAAAATGATGTTTTTCCATAAGATGCAGTTCAATTTTTATTACTAATATTGAGTTGTTTAAAAAAACTACACCATGAGTTTATTTACTCTGGTGTCTATATAAAAATTAGGTTAAATATGATTTGCACTTGTAACATTTTTATATTTCATTCAATAATCATTATAAATATACCATTTAAATTTGCATGTCTAAAAAATGTATTTTGAAATTGAATTTGCATGATAGCATTTATAAATTTTTATATTTTTAGTTTATAACTTGCTGCTTTTATAATTTTGCCCTCAAAATCAAAAACACAAAAAATTATAATCTTATCTTTAATTCGAATTACTAATAGAGGCGGTTTAATGGACCTAAGTTTTATATTATGAGATAACTACACGATATGATGCTATTGCATCGATATTTGTTATATATGCTTGACTATGAAGGTAGGTGACAATAGTTATATTATTCTAGGCACTAACTTAGGGGCCTGAGGCAGAGAAGATACGGACAAATATGGCATGACATATAAAGACGGAGTTGTCAGCCTTAGGTGGTAGTGGTCTCTTTAACCATTTGTTTCAATTTAGGAATCATGATTACGATTAGAATCTACAACACTAGGGTACCATGAGGTTCGTTTAGACGAGTGGTAGAAGTAAAAATCTATGAAATAAAATAAAATTGTATAATTAAAGTAAAATAAAAATTCCGTGTCGATCTACTAAAATCACAGTCTTTATATATCATTTAAAAATTATTGCTGGAATTTTTTTTAGCAACCAATGATATAATATAATTGAGACAAAAAAAGGGAGGGTAGGGGGTTAATGTATATTTAAGCAGTTAATTTAGTCAGAAGGTTTTTTTAAGTTATATTAATTCGTATACACTGCAATCAAATATGTTAAATTTAATAATAATTTAATTTGGTAAACATATTAAGTATTAAATTTTACGTACTTATTTATTAACAAAAAAGAATGTGTAAACACTGTTGATACCTATATATTTCTAATTTAAAAATTTAATGTGTGATGATCGGAATATATCCCAAGATTTATCTAGTGGCACCTGGTCAATCTCTAAAACTATGAGTGAAATAATTCACGTAAATATAGCCGATATAATAAAAACTGGTTTGTATTTCCACCAATTTAAGATATCTTACAGTTAGAATTAGGCAAGGTCAGGGACCCGAACCGTTATTTATAACGGTTCAGTTTGGTTACGGTTCAGTATGTAAAAAATTATAATGGTTACGTTTTGGTTACGGTTCTTAAGAAAAAATTTACATAGGTTCGATTCGGTTCAGCTAATTATAAAGGTTCATAATAATGGTTCATTATGGTTATAAATTTTTGATTCTTAAAATAGAAAAACTGAACCGGTTTGAACCGGTTTAATCTATTTTATAAAGGTTCTTTTTACTCCTTCAAAAAATTATTGTATCGGTTCGATTACGGTTACGGTTCTGATATTTATAACGGTTTATAATGGTTTAACGGTTCGTTACGGTTCACTCCGGGTCCCTGGGCAAGGACTAGAATATATGAGCTAAAATTATTGTCATATTTAAAATAAAATAATAAATTTTATTCTTAAATAATCCAAATGCAAAAAAAATCGAAATATACTTGGCAGCATAGGAAGAATCTAGGAAGGTCTAAAATCAAAACTATATGCTAAATAAATGTTAAGACGAATTATGTAACAGGATTAGGATAGAGAAAATAATTTTATTTGAGAAAAGATCGGACAAAATTATATATTTTATATAATAATATCTATATTCTACTAGATTTGCTACTCAAGCATTCAAAAGTGTGCATACATTTGAATCAGCTCTAGCGATTTTTTGGTTTCGGCGTCTACATGACAGAAATTTACTGGAGGCAGACCACCCTCTAAAACCTATACTAACCCCTCTTGAAAAATTTTGCCAAGTGAGTTTTTAATTATAATGAAAAACATGTAGTTCCTAGCTACAAGTGATTGGCAAATATTATTTATCAATATCAACAATATAGAAATTAATATATTTGTAATGTTTATTAATCAGGGAAAAGAATAGATTTTGGTCTTATTGTTTAATTATTATTTAAGTAATATCCTCTTAGATACATAACCTAACCCCCCTTAGATGTTTCAAAGCCAAAGTAGATTCTGTTTTTCCCCTTTTAATACATCATTTGTAATAAAGAATAATATTCTTGTTAATGTAACGTTTAGTATTATCCACAAATTTCTAAATAAGTCTTTTTATAGAATCTATTCTCAATTACAGCTGATTGGATCACGATAATAGGTACCACATTTTAAAAAAATTGTTAATTATATTCCGATTATTTTATTATAAATATGAGGTTTGTTATCTTTTTTTGTAATGATACTTATTTCAAAATTTTGCATATTTGCCTAAAAAGATTTAATTTAATATATATTTTTTGAATTTTGCTTTTTACAATTTCAAAAATTACTAAACAGCTGTTTTTATTATAAATTTTAATTTAAACTATGTTATGAATATATATATATATTTATCTGCCTTTATAAATATCTATGCTATTTTTCTAACCAAATGTTAGTACTGTAAACCAGCATAATATAATATAAGAGCAACCCCCTAATCCTAGTAAACAAAGTACCCCTCCCCCACCCTAAAAATGAATCAGCAGTATTTATAAAATTTTTAATCCCAGCCCACCCACACCTCCCTTTTCTTTAATTACACACTTAAAAATAATTTTAAAAATCATCTTTATTGCACAATTTAAATAAATTATAACTAGAATAAAAATAATAAGGTATTGCCTAATATATTGCAAACAAATCAATATATTTATGGTGCATCCAAACTCAATAAATGAATTTTACCTTACCTGTCCACTGCAAAATTGGTGTTAAATGCTTACATTTTTTATAATTTATTTGAGTTTGGAAGTACTCTAAAAAATAAATTATTTTTAAAAAAGGAATGAAAGGGCTAAGTTAAATTAAAATGCTAAAAAATGAAATTAAATATTTTTCTCAAAAATAACTAAATTAATCATTTTTATAAAGTACAAATATATATATAATATTATCTATTTCTGTAATGAATGCTTTTTCTATTGATGAAATTTTTTAATTTTTTAGAAAATGATTTTCCATTCTGGTTGAGATTTAATCAGCTTGATTTTGCTCATTATTCTTCTCCATTAGTATTAATGGCATCAGCATCCATATTATGGATAGACTTATATTATTTCATACAGATAAAAACACTCAGAATTTTTAACGTAATTGATCAGAATTAAAAAGTACTTAAAGCTAAGGATTTATATTAAATTTCATAAATATTTTTTAAAATGAAAGATGATTTTACAAAGTAATAATTTTGATTTTCTCAGAAGAAATTCCAAATTGCTCAGAAATTTTTGCTAAAGTATTTTGTTCTAATTAAAGTTAATCAAATAAATTGTTGAGTTTTATTAATCTATGCTTTCTGGTCTAGATGATGAGTTAGGGGGGAGGGGGGTTCTTTTAGCATAATATCTTGTCATAAAGCTAAAAAAGATAAATTGATTACATTGCTACTTAACAATATATGTCATCAGAATAGGTGGGGCAGGATAAATTTTTTAAACTTAATATTTTGTCAGGGGTATCAAATAAAAGTGAATAAAAAGATAAATTGATTAAACAACTCAATGTCACCAGCATACTTGTTGGGGGGGGGGGGTTTAATTTCTTATATATAATATGTCAACATGTGCATCAAATGAAAGTTAATACAAAGATTAATTGATGCTCATGCATGAGTATGTGCCCTGGTAGGCGTGGGGGGGGGTAAAAAGTGCATTGTAAAATATCTCAACATGGGTATCAATGGAATATAATAAAAAGATTAGTTGTTTACATTAATGTTCATCTCTCCAGGATGTGTTATGGTTCGGGGATGGGGGGGGGGGTGTTTAAATTTTCTCATTAAAGTTGACATGAGTATAAAGGGAAAGCTAATAATGAGATCAATTGATTACATTAATTTTTGAAATGAGGATGGGGGATTGAAAATTTTCTAATATAATATCTCAAGATGGGTATCAAATAAAGGCTAATAAAGATCGAGTGATTTTATTTATATTCAACGCCTTAGAGTGGATGGTAGGGTTGGATGGTAAAAAATATCCTAGCCTAGCATAATATATCGATATGGGTATCAAATGAAAACGATCGATTGATTACATTAATGCTCATCATTTTAACTCTCCAGGGTGAGTGCGGAGGGGTTAAAAATGCTAGCAATATTTCGATAAGGATCAATTTATTATATGGAAGAGTATTCAGAGTGGGATGGAGAAGCTAAAATTCTAACATAATATTTCAATATCCATATGTTATAAAAGCTTATATAAAAATCTACTCATAACTTTGTAATTTTTACTCATGACTTTCTAACATTTTAAACATGGGTATTATGCGAAAGATTCCTGAATGCTTAATTTTCCCATATTTATTTAACCAAAAACCATATTTACAGATCAAAACATTTACTATTTAAAATAAACCCTCGTACCAGTCATTTTAATTTTGAGGAACGGGCAAAGACTACGACAGCGGGGGATAGAATATGAGTAATATCATTATTGAAATTATAGATGCAGAAGTCCATGGAAATCGGAAGAGGCCACTATATTTTTTGAAAATTTAATCGTATACAAAATCTAAAATCAATAGTACTAAGGAAAAATATTTCTGTGCAATTAAAGGGCTCGTTCTGAGTTTTTCATATATTTTTCTGCGTTAATTTTTTAATATGAACATTTAAGTTTTAAAATCTGAGCATTTAGTATTTTCAGGGCAATCAGTTGTTTTTTTATCTTAGCATTAAGAAATAATTATGAGCATTCGGTATTTTTTCTGAGCATTAAGACCATGTCCTAGGTTGGCTTAATACTTAATAGCTGGCTATTTAGCCGTCTTTTAAGTATCGATTAAATTATCAAAAAAGCAAAAGAAATAATTAAAACAAAAAAAAGGGAATAAAATACGAAAATTAGCAATGCCATCAAATACTTAAAATAAACCAATATAGGGTGTCCTCGATCAAATACTTTTTTAGCTTATAACAAAAAGCAATTAGGTAACAAAATTAAGCCGACCTAGGAGACCTAAGTATTTATTCTGAGCAAGGGTTTCTTTTGAGAAATTCTGAGCGATTAAATAGGAGCCTTAGAGGATATATGTGCTTTTCTTTAATAAAGGTAATTAACTAACTTTATTTTTTTCTGAATATCATGATTATTATCATCAGAATATACCATATTTTCTTCCAAACTAGCTTTTTTAGTACAATTTAACAAGCAAGATAAATCATTAAAAATATTTTAAAAACCATCTTATTTTTTTTTAAACTTATTCTTTCTAATTGTTAATAATCTTTAGGATTTAGTAGAAGACAATATAATTTGTTTAATAAAAAAATTACCTCGCCGTTATTCTAATATGTGTAATATTTTTGATCGTTACTATTTCAGTTTTTTTATCTCGTTAAATTTGAGACACATTTTTTTTCTAGTATGGTGATGGTCTTTCCATGTATCGTCCTTTATATTTTGGGATGCGCAGTGATTTATTAACATTTATATATTTTTTGGTAAACACTTCTGGGAATTGTTTATTGGAAGGAAATAAGGATTAAGGATGAAATGGATTTAAAATTTTGAATAAATGCATACCCCTTACCAAGAAAAGTATCCAAACTCCCCTTTTCTGATCCCCTAATCTTAAATTAGTCACGTTTTATATAATAATTTTTTGATAACTAATAAAGAGATGGGATTTATTTTTGGTTATTGGGGTAAAACAATAAAGGAAATTAAAAGTAATGCCCGTGGATGGAGAGATATGACTACTCAAATTTGAAAAAAATGTGAAATATTGACATTTTTGATCAGTGATTTCTCAAATATGGAAAAAGATCATAGAAAACTATAAATGGCTTTATCTCACAATATAATTAAATGATAATTTTTACTCTATGAAAACAAGTCTAACCAGGAATAAAATGTCAATAATCGATCTCTCGTAAAAAAGGCAACTTGAATTCCTTTTAAAAATTTGGCCAAATATAGCCTTTTTATATTATTTTATAGGCATGCAAAAAATAATAATCTGTGATCTCAAACATTATTTGAAATATTTAATATTATTTAAAAGGAATATTTATTAAATTTTATTTTTCCTAATATAAATTTTTTAATGGTAGAGGTCTTAAAATTTATATGTTTTTTTTTTATCACTATTAATTTACAAATATGCGTGGAATGTAATCAGCATATTTTTAATTATTTTAAATAAACAAATATCAAGGGTTCAAACCAAAAAAAATTCCATTTTGATTTGCTTTTATTTATAAAAGGACTTTTAAATTATTTAGAATAAAGTTTGGTTTATAGTGGTTAAATAAATAATATTTTAGGTCTTTTAGGAGCAGAATTTTTACATTATTAGTGTGTTTTGTTTTAGTTTGAGCCTTAAATAAACCTATTAAGAAATGAAATTTTATGACAATTTATTAAATAAAATGTTAAGTGGAATGAATTATTAATTTTTTAAGACTTATGAATAAAATATCTCAATAGATTCTGAAGTAGGTATTGTTCTGGTTATTAAAGTTGAACGATACTAATGTCTGTTTTTTAAAAGTTGAAGATCAATTACGTGATTCCCAATTTTACATTGATCTTGGCTATTCCATGACACGAGTAACATTTATCTAAGTAGCGTTGTACGAAATAAATTTTAATAAGAAAATAATGTAAATTCTCTATTTAATGACATTTGTTATAAATTTCTTGCATTAATAATTAATTTTCAAGTTATGTTGCACCGTGTTCCCGGTGCACTTGATTAAATACAATTAAGGCCTTATGATGAAACAAATTTAATAAAACTCATTGAGTTTTTGTTTTCATTTTTATATTTGATATAAAATTCTTTTAAATTATCAACGTTTCAGCTCTTGGTTAGGAATATGATTTTTTATCATTCATATAATTGACCACATTCCAGGGATAATTCTCGAATTCTTATAGAAGTTTTAAATGTTTGCTATATCAGCAAGTAATAACTTTTTTCTGGATTTCATATTTAGGGTAGATAAAATGTCATTTGATAACGAGTTTTTTTTGATGACAGGCAATGCATTAGATTCAGAAACAAAGTCCAGGACTTAGGAAGAATTAAAATCAAATTTTCTCATTTCATGATATTAAGTCTTACTAAATTTATCCTTGAATTTGTCGATAATATTATCCTGAAGTAAATTTTAATACTCCCTTTATAATCTAAAATGTTTCAAAAACTGTTTAAGATCACAAATTAATTTTTTTAAATGCTTTAAAATAATATAAAAAAGTTTATTGGCAAAATTTAAAAAAATTAATATGCTGTTGAGATAGATCAATTTCCGTCACACTATTTCCGGGTTAACGCCATTTTTTTAAAAAAATTTAAGATATCTTTTGAAATCTAATATTATGAATCATCTAACGCCGTTTCTACTTTGCTATCTTAGATGTGAAATTTAAGTCACTAGGAATTGTCTGTTGATTTGACATGGAATTGACTATATAATTTACTTCACCTTTGTTAAAAGTGGCTTCGAACCGGTTCTTGAAAATTTTAAAATGAGATCTAGTTCCGGTTTTGATTTCTATAAATTTTAAAATGGGATCTAGTTCCGGTTTTGGTTTTATAAATTTTAAAAGTGGGCTTCACGTTCTAGTTCCTAAATTTGTCCCGGTTCCAGATTTTGATTCCAATCTCCTATGTGTTCACCTCAGTAGTAGATCAAAATACTTTACATTATACATGTTTTTGTTATAATGCTAAATAAATAGGATTAAAGGTTTTTAAAAAATTTCACACAAATCGAACACAAATACGATACGAATAATTTATTCGAATTGATATTTGTGAATATTATTCGAATAAATTAATTATATAATTCGTAAAATCGGGCTTTACAACTAATCAAAATTGATATAATATAATTAACGTGAAATGAACCCGTTAAAAAAAAAATAGAATTTGAATGCATTATTGGATGAAGTTATGTAAGATATTTACAAATTTATTTTATACCAATAGGTTATATTCTTTTTTTCTTCAATTACACTATCTTTACTACAAACTCTCAATTCACCTGCCTATTATCTTCTTTTGCAATTTTGTTTTTATGGATAATATAATAAAAAAATTGATAAAATTTTACAAAGGTTTTCAAACTTTAAGGAAACCTAAATTTCACAAATATATTTTGGCCATATTTTTATTTTTCTATTTAAAAAAAAAGAAACTCATTTCATGTTTTTCAATAGTTTTAAAAGTTTTCGTATAAATTTTTTTATGTTTTTGATACAGTTTAAAAAATATTAATTTTGATTATATAAAATTCAACGACTAAATGCTGCCTAACGCAATTATTTATAAAAAAAACAAGTTCCTTTTTAAAAAAAACACTACAATTATCTTAATATACACAAAAAAATCATCACTTTTTGAATGGCAGGCGTGGCTTAGCAGATTAGATTTGGACTGAGGTAAAATAAGTGATTTCAACTTAGGGTTGATTCTAGACCGGAGACAATTTTTTTTCTAAAACCATCCTCTTGGACGCCATTAGCTTAGGAAAGAGGGTAGGGGTAAAAGGTTAGAAAGAGTCGTTGGTTAATTACTATATATTGTTACATGCAACAAATAGAAATAGTCAACTTAATCCCATAACCATATCTACAAAATACATTGTTTTTTTTGAATAAGAGCAAAATATTTTCTCAGTTTGAAAATCAAATTGGTTTTTTTAACGGATTTCTAAATTTAAAAAATATTCTTGTACTGTTTTAAAGAAGCCGTTGAAATCTAGAGAACTTGGAAAGGTGATAAATTTAAATATTGTAATTAAATATCCATTTTTTACTGGTAATATTTAACTTAAACAAATTATACATTTATAACCTAAGAGATTTTTAATATAAAACTTAAACTTTAATATTTAAAATCAGATCCTTTTTGAATTACCAGTTTTTATATTTTCTAAAATGAAAATCAACGGCCTAGTTCAGATGCAATATTACAATTCGGTTCAATTCAAACCTTTATTATAGGGCCGGAGTGAAAAAACATTTTTTTCCCCAGTATATTTCTTTGACCTTTACTATAATAATTATATTTTATTACATTTACTTCATACAAGAAACAAAATAAAGTTGATCATTCATTTTGAACTTTTGCATTTAAAAAAAAATGTATTATTATATTATACTTATATTATAAGTGGAAAAGGAAAAGAAATAAAAATACTGCATTTGTTTTTATCTTTGTTTTTCGAAAAAAAAATAAAAAAAGTACAATTTAAATGATTACCTTTACCTGCATAGTGCACATATTACATTACGTCTCGAATTTGGGGCATAATATAATTATATTTATTAAATTTTATAAATTATTATCACAATTCGTATTTTTCTTATATCGATTTACTAAAAAATAAAAATTTTTTTTTTATTATTCACTAAAAAAAGGGGGAAAAAGGTGAGATTTTTTTGTTTTCAAGAATTATTACATGATTAAGATTATATTATTACTTGATGTTGAGAGACATTATTGAATGAATATTCAAGATATTTTTAGTATTGTTATATTATTATTAATACGTTTGAACTTGAACACATATGTAAATCAATTTATTATTTTTTATAAATTTTGCGCAAATAACTTCATTGTTTAGCTGATGGTCATTGCTTGTGATAATAATGTAAACTCATCCAAGATTCCGGTTCTCTCCTTTAACACCAAACACCCACCGAAAAATGGGTTCATAGATATTAGACAGAGTTCGATAATCTCCATTAACGATCGTTATAACCAATCTACTTCAGCGGCTAAATTTGACTGTCGGCCCATAGCCGTAACATACAATAGCAGAAATAACCATATATCCTCTATTTACAAACGAGAGGATAATAATATTCATGATAATATCATTGTACCTAAGTGCTCTTCTCAAACCACATTAAAATGCCTTATCGGATCTAGACATAAAAATGTGTTTAATAATCATAAATGCCCCAATCATGATCAACAGCAACCTCAGATAGGTAAAACAACCCTCATTAATAAGCAGGCCAACTCAAATTACACTTTGGGGTCTACCACAAACTCGAACGCGATCTCTATTAATAAAAATCAGACCATCGTGACTTCTAAACGCCCTTCTTTCCTCTTGCCAAACCTTAAAATCAAACCTTCTTCTTTACTCATCAAGTCAGAATCGTCTGTTAAAAAGGAGTGCAAAAATATTTTCAACAACAAACGCGAAATTTGTACAAATACGGGGCCCAACATCGAGAATATTAAAAAATATATTTCAAAAGATGCCGATTACACTAACGGCGATAGCGCGCTACCACAAGAATCGAAAAACTTGAAACACACCACAAATAATTCCTCGACAAAAACCCAATCGCTATCGAATCCTTTTTTGACTCGAAAATTTTTCTCCTTTCGTAACCCGAAGAAAAAATCTAATCCGTCTCATTTTTGCAAAACCGAATATAAAACCGTCATTACCGATATTTTACCTCGCAAGAATTATCACCCTACTGGGACTGATGAAAGTTCGTTGACTGATAATTTTGGACAAAAAGATAAAGTTATAACATTCAACAATAAGGCCACGTTTTATAAAAAAAATAATATAGAAGAATTATTGACTCGAAGCAACCATAGTTTAAATAGCGAAAATACTGAGTTATTAGGTGATTTATCATGTGGGTCGGCTAAAAATTTCGAAATGTTTGAAGCAAAATATTTTCCCTCGATCCACGAATATGCTTTAAATTCGAGTTCTTATGGCGATGATAAGAAAGAAATCTTTAATAATGTTGGGCGCGAATTTAAAAGTCTAGATAACGAGTATTTTATTGACATTAACATAAATTGCAACAAGTCGTTATCAACCTACCCTAAAAATGGTCTTATCAAAGATTTTAATGGATCAGCTTCGCTAACAAATAACGATGTCATCGTCACCTCCGTTTCTTTAATACCGGCTAAACACTCACACCCTTTCAGTTCTTCTTCAGTGTCATACAACAACACTCCCAACTCAACGTTGCCCATGGCCTACTACATTCCTCTCGACAAATTGTCACCATCCTATTTGGGACAAAAGGCCACTCCGCCCGGGGTCAACGCTCATTATACTTTAGCTAAGGGCCATTTTTCTCGCAAACCCTTATCGAATCATATCGAAAATAAGCGTTCCGAACAAATATTTCGATTACCATTTCATGATCATTGCCATAAAAAAATAGATAATAATGATATTAACGAGTTATCAGACATCCTTCTAAAGCTTTTGCCTCCTCCTCCGTCTCCCACACCTCCACTTTTATTTACTTCATCTCACAATAAATCGACCGATATGATCATTTCTACAAATTCAAGCGATTCTCACTACAATAATAACTTTGATCATACCGTTCACAAATTTGCTATGAATAAATGCGAATTTGGCTCGTTGCTCCAAAGAACTAACAAAAATTACGCTCAGATCTTACCGCGTAATCATTCCTTCACCTCCTCAAACATGTCTACAACTAAGGATATGGCTGTCGACACGCTGGAGTTAGAAAGTAACGGCGGCAGCTTCGAACATGCAGTTGATTTGCAAACTTTTGTTTTTCATCCTGAGAAACAAGAACATTCATACATTACTGATTCTAATATGGCTAAGCCCAGTCTCAATTTTTTTGTATCACTCAATGATAATCATTTAAATTTTGAAGGTAAAAAAGACCCAAAAAGTTATGATAATTTAAACAATCACAACTATGAAAATGATGACGAACATCACATGGTTAATAAAAATATATATTTATTGACTTTAAAGAAAAATTTTTATTTACAAATTTATGATATCCTATTTTTCGTTAGAATTAACACTTGTACAAAATAATGGCGTTCATTGTCTCTTATCATTCAAGCATGTGCTAAAAGCTATTTTTTTTGAAAAGCATTTTTTTAGGCGACTAACTATCTACTAATTTATACATATGCAACAATTTGATATAATTAGGTCAAGTTGTACTAATTATTATAAGTTCGTCAATTACAGCTAAAAATAGAGCTCATCGTTTTGATATTAGAAAACCCCGTTATAAAGCATAAACAATATTAAAATTTTGGAAGGAATTCTTAAATTAAATTTGACTATTTTTAATTATCATTGTTATTTTATAGAAGGAATATAAAAATACATCACAAAATGATAGCTTTTAGATTTATTTGCTCATTATTTTGGGATGTTATTTTGGTCGAAATTAAGTTATCTCCAAAAACTTTTCCTTAGCGTCTTTTTGATTAAGAAATTAATTTTAGTATAACTAAATGACATTGTATTTTTTTATAAATCGCTCTCATGTAAAATTGATAGAAACCTTATTTTAGTTATTCATAATAAATCTACGAATTGTTGTCTATCGGTATTTTATTTCAATTTTTTAATTTTATGTTAAGCTAATTTGTAATATATGTATAATTTATTTTAAAAGCATAATGATTCACAGTTAATAGAAGAAAATTCTCAAAAGTTATTTCCCAAACCCAATGGATCTTCTTTAACAACATTTTTGACTCATAAAAATAATGATGAATATGATAAGTAATAATATGTTATAAATCACTTTAAAATATTATTTATGCGTAAAAAAAATATAAGAAACGGACAACTTATAGCTTTATTAATCAGCCAGGGTCATTTGTTGGATATGGAAAGGCGAGAAAAACAAAGAATCATAACTGAATACGAGGTTTTATTATATTTTTCATAAATATTATATACAATTATTATAACATTTCTAGATAGATCAGAAATCTATAAAATTTTATTTATTCTTTTTAGGAAAAAATTCACGATTTAACAATTCTCATTCAGGATATTAATCAAGTTATTACGAAGAATTAACTTATACATTATTTTCTCTATATTCTATTCAATTTTTTTTTAAAGAATTTATCTATGAATGTCAGAAATTCTAAACACACTGATCAGAACAATTCGTGCACCCAGAATTGCCAAAATGTTAATTATCTATCTGACGTCTTAAATTCGGTCATGGACCAGCTTGCCCAAGCCTTCAAAAATTATAGGGTAAAACCCAATTATCTTTTGAAATAAACTACTATTTTATATTGCAAAACTGAGTTCTTTTTATTAGGGTTTATTTGTTAAATTTAAATCCAAAATTCGTTAAAATAATTAATCTTATTATCTTTGTCTACCAAAAAAATGAAATTTTCAGTATCTTTAAGAACCAGACAAAACAAATAATATAATTATCATGATCGGATTGAAGTTTCTGGTAAACTAGCTTCTATAGCTTATTTTATCTAAACTGGTATAAAATTGAAGCATCTTCTTATAAATAAGGGATTAATTTATCGGCTAAATTAAATTATCATCACCTTAATAAAATTTTTAATATTAGCTTTAAATTTTTATTAATATTATTGTATAATAGTTTCTCAAATATTAATATTATTAATATATAATTATTATTCGTCTATCTCGAAGAAAGTAAAGTAACTTCAATAGTAACTTTTTTGAATTGCGTTTTACTATATTTTTTTTAAAAATCAGCAATTATTTATTATAAATTATGTAGTAAAGCGTGCAATTTGAACTCTATATTTAATAAACACAAATTAAGAGATATATAAGTGAAAATTTCTTTTTTAAATTAAATTTAAAAAAAATAATTATTTTTGGTAGATTTCGCAGATTTTGAAAACATAATTTTATTTTTGAACTTTCAGATAAATTTAAAAGGGTAAGTGTTTTTTTGAAGGGGGAGGGGTGATTGAAAAGGGTGTTGTATTAATTACATAACATTAAAAGATTTAATTTTAATTATGTTCTTATATTATAACATTATATAATTATTTTTACCCTAAATTTTTGTGAATCGAATTTAACCTAAATGTCTTAATATGATTTTTTAATTTATTTTTGGAATGTTTTTTTAAAAAGTATGTTGAAACAATAAATTATGCATGAAACATGAATACGATCAATATCAAATTAATTAAACAATTTTCCATTAATTTAAAATCAATTTTTTCTGATAAAATAGTTTATTGATACCTGATTATCTTAATCTTTTATTGTTACAATATGTGACCTAAAATTATTTTTCAGAATAGTTATAATATCTTATTAATAGAATATAATACCGGGGCCATAATTCTTAGTTTTTTTTGTTTGTTAAAATACCTTAATTTATTTTTATTAATTTAAATTATAATTTGCCTTTTTTATCGTGCTCAAATTAATTGAGTATTTAATATTTTTATAATATAACTAACTTTGCGATTCGTATTTGATGAAATAAAGATTTTAAAACAAAATTTTTATAATTGATTTATTTAAAAAACCACCTATTAAATTATTTCTAATTTTTTATTAACATTTGGAATCTATTTTTTATACCACTTAAAAAAAGGTATGGATAATGTTAGCTAAAAAAAAGGTAATTTTAGATTAAGGCTGTACCGATATTAAATATCGGATCGGCTCCGATATTTAGCGTTTTCCAAAAATATCGGATCGGGCCGATATCTGTAAAAACCGATCTGATCTTTTTACTTTTCTTTTTTTTGTTATTTTATGTATATTTATTATACATTCATATTTTCTAAATATTTTTTTTAAACAATAAAAATGCATAACACCTCTTAAATTTTATTTATTTTTTTAAATAGATTTAAAGTTTTTTTATAAAAATAGAAAGGAACACCCAGCCAATTTTATTATTTATACTTTAAAAATAAAAGAATTTTTTTTAATATGGTATCTGAATTATGGAAATATTTTACAAAAGAAAAAGATAATTTTTTGCAAAATCGTTATCTCCATTCTAATTTCACGGGTAGGAATAATGAAAAATTCATTTAATACTACCAATATCCGAAAACGTTTTTAAAATTATTGTAGAAATAAAATTAAAAATATTAATTTCTTAATTACATTTGGTTCAAAGGAGGGTGGTGAAAAATCAATATAAATATCAGTATCGGATCGAGTTTGAATCAATATCGGATTGGATCGGTGAAATATATGTGGATCGACACAGCACTATTTTAGATGATGTTAGCTAAAAAAAGAAGGCAAATTTGAATGTTAGCTAAAAAAGATAATTTTGAAAATAGAATTGTTTTTGAATCCCCTAAGATTGTAAAAGCTAGTGACGCCTCTGAGCGCGATAATTAGGCGATCGAAGAGTCAATATTATCATATTGATACCTTTTTCTATCCAGTTGTATATAAGAATTGTTAGAATTTTTTTTTAAATGGGAGGGAGAGAAGGAGGTGATAGTGAAATGCCTTTATAGTAGACTTATTCAAAAACGAATACGAATTAGGGTTAGCAAAAATAAATCGATTTATTAGATTTAAATCAAAATTTGTAACTAAATTAAAATACTTTTAAAAAATATGCCCTAATAACTACAAAGGCAAAGATACTAATAGAGCTTATCTATTTTATTAAATTTGTTCTCCTATGAATAAAAACCATTGTTAAATTAGCAATATTTATAAAAACGATTTCAATTTAAAAATATTTGTAATGTACATATTTACATCTAGGATAAAAAATAATAGAAGCATTATATATTAAAAAATATTGAATAATTATAAAAATTATGGGTGTATTGATAGCATAATAGAAGCATTATATATTAAAAAATATTGAATAATTATAAAAATTATGGGTGTATTGTTAGCGTCAACGTGTTTTTTTTTGCACTATTTTTCAACTTTAAATCATTTTTTAAGCATCTGATTTTACCGGAAATATATTCTATCATGTTTGGAATACCTACCCTATGAATTTTAGACATTTTACCATGAACCTTTTTTCCATCGATTTTTATTATAATTGGCTCATAAGATAAAGGTAAAATTATCGATAATTCATAAGAGAGGTATTCTAAACATGCCGTAATACATTTCCAGTAAAATCCGATTTTTAAACGCGCTCAAAAATTGATTTTAAGTTGAAAAAATAACATATTGCCAGAAAAAATACATTGACGCTAACGCATATATAAAAAATTTTTTTAAAGAGTGGTTAAAGAGGTAAAAAAAGACTACAAAGAAACTTAAAAAAAGAGTAACAATATTGAAATGACTAAAAAGTATTCTATTTATCCTAATAATAGCTTGATTAAATTAATTGTAATGTTAACAAAATTAGATTATATTTTGATTAAATTAAAAAATTCCCATTAACTAGATTGATATTTATACACTGTAGAATTATTCTTAGAATTATGTAGTGTTGTAAACGAACGCGTTCGTGAACGAAGTTCGTTTTTTTGAAAAAAGGTGATGAACGGCGTTCCTTTTTTTTCGACGAACTTTGAACGTGAACGCGTTCCTTTTCTTTGATGAACGCGTTCAATTTTACGTTCGTTAAATTTTAAAAACACTTTTTATTTTTATTTATTTGAAAAATTAATATTAATCCGCATTTTTTAACAAAAAAGTCTTATATTTTTATTTATTTGAAAAATTAATATTTAATCCAATTTTTTAACAAAAAAGTCTTATATTTTTTAATCAGCTGTTTTTACTTTTTCATATTGCAATTAACGTACCATAGTGCTACTGCTAGAGAAGATAAGATTAAAGTTTATTAATTTGAATATTTTATATTTTAATTTAATAGATTAGCATTTGCATGGATATAAATATTTCATCATCAGATTCTGAAAATCAAAATTCAATATTAGATAAATTAGAATTACCATGGCCCAAATATCAAAAATATTTTACTGTTTTAAAATCAATTCCGAGATATCCTTTTTTGACGAGGAAGAAGAGGGCAGATTGGAGGATGATAACATAGCTCAATTTTTTGAAACAATGGATAAAACATTAAATGTTTTTAATAAATTCCCCCTTTTAAAAGAATTGTTTATCAAGTATAACACCGCAATCCCTTCATCTGCCCTTGTTGAGCGAGTTTTTAGTATAGCTAACGCTGTATTAACTGACAAGCGTTTATGCCTATCAGATGAAAATTTTGAAAAGCAATTATTATTAAAAATTAATAAGTATATTTTTTTATAAATTTATTTTTTTTATCGCTCTATTATATTGTATTTATAATTATATTATCAAAATAAAACTATTATTTTTTATCATGGCTAATAATATATTGTGTTGAAAAATATAAGGCATTTATTTATATTAAATTAAATTTTAAAAAAAATTTATCATAAAATTTTGAACGTATGAACGCGTTCATGAACTTGAACGCGTTCCTTTTTTTGAATTTGAACGTGAACGTGTTCGATTTTTGTCAATGAACGTTGAACGCGTTCGATTTTTTTAAAAATGTTTACAGCACTAGAATTATGGAATAAATATTTATTAAACGGGACAACAAATAAATTAATGAATAAAATTTTTATTTTTTTATTTTCAAAAAATCGCTGACAAACATCGTGTCTATAAATGGTACAATATATAGCCAAAGCCAACCACTGTTTAAATGTTATATTAAAATCTATAGTATTATATCAAGCAATCAATTAAATCTACATGATAACACGGCAACTTATAGCAATACAATGTTTATACTCCTTTATAGGAGGATATGGAGTGTTATCATTCGCTGTTAATTGATTTAATTTTCCTTCTTTGTTTATTTTGACCTAATTTTGAATAAAAATTACTATATATTTAAATATGTATGACTAATTTTTAAGGTGTGACTTGGACTAGTGCTCGTAACAATCTGATTTTGTACAAAGGCAACCTAGTGTCAATTTATAAATAGTCGTTTTATGACCATTTCCGGTTTTTTATAAAAAGCATTTTTTCTCTCTATTAAATTTTCTGTCATATTAAAAAGCTATTATAGAGCTATATAATAAAATTTAAATTATAGTTTTAGCTAAATTATTTTTTGAGATATATAAAATTATGAAATGTTTAGAATTTTTACGTTTTCAAAGGTAGCCATCTCAGGAAGTAACTTGAGTTGATATCTAAATTTTATATTTTCATTAGTTAAGTTAATATCATAATATGAATATTTTTAAAAATTGAATGGAATCGGGTTGAGAATCATGCTATTTAGTTGATTTAATATGAATTTAACATATACTTAAAATGTATGTTAAAGCAAATCATTTATTAACTTTTATTATTTACCAGATACTCATAACGACTAATTAAAAAAATGAAATATTCACAAGGAAAATTAAAAAAATATATATTATAATACTTTTTGAACTATAATATATATAAATAGTAGGCATACACCTGAAAATACCTCTACCCCTGAGTAAGCCAATGTGTTTTATAATTAAAATGACAAATTATTAGCATTTACATCAAAATAATTATTATCGAATTCGACATTGGCTTGATATTGAAGATGTCAAAACGTAATTATTAAATCGACAACCCCTTAATTATAATTATGATCCCCACTACACTTTACAAATATGCCATTATCACAAATTTCATTCCATAAAATTTACATTTCTGTGTCTATGTTATCTGTCTGTCTATATAATATAAATATATTCATGATATCATATTAACAATGATAAAATAATATAGCATTTATCTGAAGAAAATACAAAATTACTAAGCATCATAAATTTGCAGCAGAACATGAATTTATCAAATACAAATTTAATTTACCCCAAAACCTCAAAGATGCAAGTAATAGATTAAATTTTAAATATTTCTTTAAAATTGCCATATATTATAAATATTTTTTAAAAAATCAGATGCCAGAAAATATTTATCTCAAATTGATGGAAGATATAAAAGAGGAAGAAAGCCAAAGGCTTAATGAATCCGACAATATAATCATAATAGAGGACAAAATACTAGAATTGGGAGACAAGGTAAAATCCAGAACTCAATTTTTTTTATACTAAAATGATCGGTTTATTCTCCATTAGATATACTCTTATGAAGACTTAGGGAAACCTTGCCTGTATAAAATTAACTCACTAGAAAACTTCAGCTTAGATGAATCATCAGATTGACAATAAATTTATTATCAAGAACAAGAATATAGGCTGAGTTTTAGACTTTTCGAAATTATTATATTTTACTAACTAAATAAAAAATTTTTTTTAAATTCCTCACAAATATAAATTAAATATGAAAATTGAATTGTAAAATTATTTTATTATACAAGTCGACAAATTTGATAATATATTATAATAAATTAGTGTATAAAGGCCTAAAGCATTGAGTCACCTGACTTCACTTTATAAAATTTCTCTGGAAATCTCTAAAAAAATATTTCGTGTTCAACAAGAATGTTGACAAATTTAAACATTTTTTATAAGGCATCAAAATGGAATTGGTGTGCATTCCTTAGACGTTCCACAAAATCCTCCCTCTAAATATGTAAAATAAAGGATAAAATTTTACAATAAAAAAACAAATACCTTTTCTTTCCAATGCAATATAGCAATAATCATGCCCAAGAATAAACAAGTGGCTATTAAAGTAGCTCCTATTTTTATTATAAAATAGCTCGGCGTAAGTAAGAGGATGTGTTGCCACCTAGATCAAATATAATATGGGTTTAGATATTGATATTAAAATAAAAGCCTTATTATATATTATAAGAACTAAAGATTATAAATTTAACGAGTGTATAATTAATACCAAAAAAAATGATATAATATGATTTACTTAGAGGAATCATTGTTGGGATATGGTATTATGATCATTTGTGAATTGGGAATTATAGCTGCCCAATTATGGTACCTGGCGGGCTATAAATATTTTTCATAAAATAAAAAATATTTTTGTAAGTAAATATTTCACTACCTTATTGTAGGGTCTAGAGAACCCGACTTCCAGTTTATCGATAAAATTGGGTCTCCTTCCTAACCCAAATATGACGTAAGGCAAATTTAATGCAAAATGAGATGTTTGCATCATTTGGCAACCTATAAATACAATTTTTTAAATATTTAATATATAAAAAAACTCATGGCCTGTGTAGGGGCATCTTTTGAATAGGTGGTTTGATATTTGACTACGGCACCTGGAGGAATTATTCCATATGGCTATTATTTAAAAAAAATGATTTAAATGGTTTGAGTTATAATCATTTTAAAAAAAATACCCTGGAATGCAATTTACAGTCTATCCAGCATCTACCATTCAAAACTAGATTTTTTTAAAAAATAAATAATTAAATTATGTTTTAATTGTTATATGTTGTATAAACATTTATATCGTTTTTATTAAATAAGAATTAGTATCAAAAAAAAACTTAAAAAAATAAACCTAATGTTTTGACAAAACTAGCATCCAAATCCATATTGTTTTTGAAAGCCTGAATTCCAAATCCCTTCCATTTTCCTGCTGCATTGTCTTTCCAATTTTCAACTAATATATTACTTTCAAATTCGCTTACAACTACCAAAATATCTAATAAACCTATAAAGTTTAAATATTAATTTTTATACAATTAAAATTTTGAGAAAAGGAATATAAATTTTATAACCTCCCCCCCCTGATTTTTGGGTATTACACTTTTATTTACAAAATAAATATAATTTATATTCTAAATATGCCGTAAGGGGAAAAGCGCCGATTTAAAACAATTTTATAAATAAATAACATACCATCATTGTAGATGTCGAAAAACACCGCAAGTACAGGGTTCTGAATCAAGTGATCATTATTCGCTGTAAATGCCGATCTTTCTTTAAGATTATCGTCATTTAGATTAAAATTATTATCAGGAGTGAGGGAAGTCGGGATCAATTTGAGTTTTCGGTCCAAAAAATTACAAATTTCTGGATTAGATGTATGTACATCGCTTTGGTCGAGGATATCCGGTATGCAGGGAATGTTCTGAAGAATAGCAGGGGTTCGGATAAATTTTTTCTCGATTCTTGACAAGGTTTTTTTTTAAAAAATATTGTAGTAAAAATTTTTTTTTAAATGTCATTTTTACTTTTTTTAAATTAGAAAAATGTTTAAGATTACTCGTGCAAGGCTAAGGTTATTTATTGTAGCTTACCTATTACCATTTTTGACTATAATTTCGGACGTTAAAATTAAAAGAACATCGGGATAACCGTCAAAATTAAAATCTCCAATACTCATTCTGGGCGGAAAAGCACCGGGAGGAAAATTGGTACCAACAATACCATAATTAAAATCAATCATATATTTGTTTTGTGTTAAATTTTTGTCCCATTCATAAATGTAGACCGCTTCCCAACGACCTATAAAATATTTTTTTTTTAAAGAACATCTTAGATCTATTAAATAATTGTTATAATATCACCATTAATTGAATAGTTAAAACCATATCTTTATTAGGGATATACATTTACCATGCCTTTACATTAAAAAAATCTTAAAAAATAATTTTAATAGTAATGTATGGGCTATCAATTTACCCATATAATATAATAAGGTAAGTATAATTGTATGTTGTGGAAAGATCACTATTTTTTATAGCGTATATTAGTTATCAAATTCAAAAATAATTATTAATCTCCCTAAAGATGATATATATATATTAAAAGGTATAAATTTATTTAGAATTTAATTTTTATAAAGTAACAAGGAAAATTTTATTTTAAACTGGTCACCGTATGCATAAATATTCGCCCATTATGTTTTTTAAAAATGAGCGATTAAATACTATGTTGCAAACGCAAATAATGTATTTCAAATGGAATCGTGAAAAGTGCAAATTTCCATTTGGCTTGAAATACATTCTTTTTTTACAACCGCCTTTGAAACGCTCAATTTGTAAAAGCACTATGCTATGATCCAAAATGTTGGCATATGTTAATTTATTTGTCCTATTTTTTTAAATTAATAATTTTAATTGTTATTTTTAATCTATTTTTGTATTTTTGAGCCCAATATTCCTAAATTTTCTTATATTTAAATGATAAATCCTTTTTTCATCTTTACCTCATTATAATTGCAGGAAATATATTAGGCCTGTCCCAAGCGGGAAAAAAACTAAGCTCCCTAGGAGTTAGTAATTTTTACAATCCCATAATTTTATGGAATATAATTAACTTATCGTTTAGTATATAAGTTATAAAATTTAATCTTAAGAAGTATATTATTATTATTACTTACCGACTTTATTTCCCCAATTGGAATAAGATAAAGGAAAAAAGAATAGTTAAAAATAACAAAAAAATAGAAAATTTAAGAAAAATGACTGCAAAATAAAAAAATCTGATTTAAAAAAATAATCAATGAGAAAAGATACAAAAATATATTAAATAAAATGACATAAAACTAAAGATATCACAAAAAGTTATAGAACACAAAAATGACAATTCAGGATTATAAAAATGACAATAAAAAATATAATAGATATGGATTTCCTTTTATGGAATTTTTTCTTTTTTGATTGTTTTTTTGATGGGGACTTTTCCTTCTTTGATCGGACTTTTACCTTTTTTGAATGGGAATAATATCAATGCAGTTCTATTTCTTAATGCTAACAAGATGACATGATTTCTTTTATATAAAATTTGAATGAATGTGTAAATTCAAGGTTGCCCTATTTAAAACTTTCATTACTTTTTGTTATATTTGTATTCTGAAACCACGCCAAAATAGCCCATTCCTCACACATTTCAACATTCAATGAGCCACAGGCTAGCATTAAATGCTTCATATTGGCTGCGGCATTGAAATCTACGAACAATGAATGACCCGACCTAGTTATTCCATATCTTTTATCCAATTTCGAATCGGTTATCCAAAAATCTTTCCCCATGTAAATGTCTTGCCTAGTAAATTTTCCATTCTAAATTTTTTGTTTATTTATTAAACATTTTTATAAATACCTAATTCAGTAGATAAATATTTAAATAGGCATATATTTAAATCACCGTTAGAGAAGATTAGGAAGTAGGCCTGTCAAAATTATTTGATTCACATTCAAAATTTACAAATAATTTTTTAAAAAATTGAAAATAAGAAATTATCATTATTCGTATATGTGTTAAATTTTTTTTATTGATTAGATGGGACAAATTAATCAAATATTTTATTTTTTGATAATATTTATTTTATTGATGGTGACTCTTTCCAACACAATCAAAATTTTAAAAATAGAAAATCAAAAGATAAAAGTGAGATTATAATATAAAAAATATTCAAGCACCGATATTTAGCGTTTTCCAAAAATAACGGATCGGACCGATACCTCGAAAAAACCGATCCGATCATTTTATTTTTCTTTTTTTGTTTAAATTATTACTAAATAATTTTATTTTTAAACAATGCAAATGCATAACACTCCTTAAATTTTATTATTTTTAAAAATAGATTTATAGTATATTTTAAAAGTTTGTTTATAAAAATAGAAAGGAACACCCAAATTTATTTTAAATAAGAACGCCAATTTTATTATTTATACTTTAAATAAAAGAATTTTTTTAAATATGGTATCTGAAATATGGAAATACTTTACAAAAGAAAAGACAATTTTGTAAAATGCGTTCTGTGGAAATCTAATTTCACGCGGAGGAATAATGAAAAATTCATTTAATACTACCAATATTCATAAACTTTTTTTAATTAATGTAGAAATAAGAAAATTAAATTAAATGCATAATTCGATTTTTTGCTTAAAAAATATTGATTTCTTAATTACATTTGGTTAAAGGGGGGGGGGGGGGTGAATCAATATAAATATCGGATCGGTTTTGAGCCATCGAATTGATGAAAAAATGTGGATCGGCAAAGCCCTAAAAAATATCGAATGCTTTAGTAAAATTCATAATGTTTTGCAATGCTGTAAAGTAACATCGTTACAGAGAAAAAAATGAAAATGATGACAAAATTGCCTTTTCTTTTCAAAGCGTGAAAAATTTTGATATAGGTACAAAATTATATATTTTTTTATTTATATTTTCCCTACTTTGCAAAATATTGTCAAAATGTAGTTTTACGTTACCTTAGAAAAATTGTCTACTTTTTTATAATCATAGGATTATGTATCCATTTCTTCCAACATTGAGATAAAATTTTATCTGCCTGTCATGTTTTATATAATTTATTTCTCATAGATTTAACTCATATCAAAATTTAAATACATTTATTATTCAAAAATATCATGAATATAAAACATGATATAATGGTAATAAATCATACCAAATAAACAATTTATAAAAGCTGTTATAAAAATTATATGATTTAATCTTTACTTAATACTTTGGTAAAATAGATAAACATATTTCTTAATATTATTATCAAGGACTTATCTTCTTCTAGGGTATTTTGCCTATATCATTGGTCTCTATAGACATTATAATATTTTAAATCAATATTTAGAGTAGGATGGATCCAAAAAACAAATATTCAATATATAAATTTGTAAAATTTAAGTTCTCATCTCATGTGACATTTTAGTTTTTATAAATATTATTTATTTTTTTTATAATGGAACTAACTTTATTAATCCATCTTTCAAATTGATCAATATTGCGTGTGGGGCTTTGTGAAGTAATAAATATATCTATTTTTAAAAAATAGAATGGTTTAACATATTTTAATCAAATATTTTAACCTGGAGTTAAATCATCATTCATGTCAATATAAGCATTTGAGTTGGGAATAGACATTGGAAATAACTCTTCTGTTGTGACTAAAATCTGATGGAAAGTGCGATCAGTGCTGCATTGTTATTTAATGAGAGATATATATATTTAATAAATTAAGAGGTGTAAAAAAAGTGTTTAAGATTATACTTTGATATCCAATAATATCTTAAGTTATCTTCAAGAAGCTCAGCACAAATATCAGGTAACATGTCACCATTGTAGCTTAAAAATAATCAAATAGATTTCAAATGATATATTTCCAAAATCAGCAAAAAAAGGTTGCACTAAATATGTTTTATAAAAAAAACTATAATTGAAATCTAGTAATCATTTATAAAAGTGTGTTTCTTAGTTATATTTTGGGAATTACTCTATTTTATGACTTTCATTTAAATATTTTTTTTATATAATTCAATCATACTCAAAAATTAATGGTGAATCTTTTATTTTGCCAATTATTTCAGTGTGAGATGCTATAAAAGTAAATATATTTAGCTATAAGTATAAAATAATATTTTTTTACAAAATCCACTGATATTTCCCCAATAAATTTGCAGATTATATGAGAGGGGAGGGCTTTTATTGTTAGACCCCAAAATTAGTAATACATCTTGCACAGAATCTCCATCATAGTCACCAGGAACAACATTATATATAGTTTGATTAGTATGACTTTTATACATTCATAAGATCATTTAAAATATATTACCTTAAATCAATAATAAAATATGATGTTATAAAACGAAATTTCTTGTTTTCATTAAGATAAATATTTAATTTTGTACCTGTAATAAAATATAAATATAAAGAACTTAAATTATATATAAATTACCAGTTTTATCAATTACAAATAAATCTACATTTTTATCTGAATTTAAATCTGAAAATGCTGATAACAAACCTTCATTGCCAAATGAGAATAACAATGCAGTAATATTTGTAAATACACATCCGTGTAGTTTCAATATAGCATATATAAATATGAGGATAAACATGTATTGAACATATTGTTAAGATAAATTTTTACTTTATCATGGCCGCCAAGATTTATGAAGCGAGAAAGTATAAAATACTTTGGCAGTTAAGAGAATATGTCAGGAAAGCTAATTTTTCTTTTATTGGTTGATATTACATGATAAATTTGCAACTTCTATGAGATATATAATTATGATGCATATCTTTTTAAATTATCGACCTTTATTATTTAAAAAATTATATATCGCAAGATTTTAACCTTCATTTTCCAGGTTAAGTATATAACTTAATCACACTTTTTTAAGCAATAATATTAAAAAATTATTTATTTTTATTCACACTTAAGGTTTTATTTACAATTCATAATGGTTCCCTATATCATGGGTAATGTGAACATTTTTTTATGAATAAATCGTAATCCTAGGTCTTACTATATGTCATTGACTCAGCGACTTTGTGTTTGGGTGTTATAAACTTGGGATTTTATTAGATATTTAAATTTTGATATTTGCAATTTTAATATTTGAATTCCCATGATTACTTAAGAGTTTTATTACATTATTTGTGTCATGGATTATTTTACACTTCACTTTTTAAGGGCATACACAACAGAGAAGTGTTATCTCGAAAATTTCTTAACGTGTCTATATAGTTATACATATATAGTGAAAATAATATAGCGAAAATTATTTCGTGAACGATATATTACGAGATGGTGTTATTAAACGGCTAAATATGAGTCGATTAATAAAAATGGATAAGCCAATATTTTATCCCACGCAAGTTTGAAGATTTTGGTCAAAGATAGCATTAAGGTGTGGACCTTAGCAAAATTTTTAAGCTTAGGCAATAATATTTTTTAAAAATATTGAGGTGGCCGTTTTTAAAAATCGGCTCAAATCCAGCCGTTTAACAATAATATCACGAAGATAAAACCGCAAAGTTAATATTGTGAATACAATGTGCGAAGGAATACCGCGATAACTGCACATTAACTATTTATTTTGAAATATAATCTAAAGATTTAGGGAAAAGATCGATTCAATAATAGATTTTTAATTTTCTTTAACCATAAATTTATATAATACTCGAGCTTAAAATTGATTAAGATAATATTATTTTCATTTGATGCCAAAGTTTGAAAGTTAGAAAGTTCCCCCACATAATCTAGACCCGATGTTTGACATAAAAAAAACAAAATTATTATTATCCTCAATTAAGATCCTTGCTATGATTTTTGCTTAATGGCTTTTTTCAAGCCTATGTACCCCACCCCCATTCTCCTGTATTAACAAATTCCTAATGTATCTTATAAATAGTATCAAAACAAAATCAAAATTTTGAGCTGTAGGTAGTTAACTTATATTGGCGTTTTAACAATCCTACCCATGTATAAAAGTTTGGTCTTACAAAAATCTGAAATCAACTACCCTTTTCCGGGTTGAGGTTGAACCCCCCCCCCCCATCCTCCATAACCTCCGGAAATTTTTTTTTATTTTTAATTAAAAAAAATTTTTTTTATATATATTGTGAATAATTTCATTTAAAAAACGGTTTTTATTTAGAAATAAAATAATATATACGATATCAAAATGATATATATTTTAAAAAGACATATAAGAATTTTTACTTTTAAATGATAACATGATTTAAAAATATATTATATGAACTAAAATATTTAACATCTCAATTCATGTGAGATATCGGATGCTTTAAAAGCCATCTATGAATCAAAAGATATCAATATCTAATGTATCGAATAAAAATTTTTTGATATTGTTACAACAGAGCAAGAATAATTATAATAATTGATGCAATTATTTGGTTAGGGAGGCAGGGCTTATCATTAAGAGCTCAGAATATCTACTAGCCCCTTAACACTTACATACTCTTCTCATAATGAAGGGAATTTCAAGGAATTGTTAAAACATTTATGCAATAATAATGATAACTATATAAAGCTTTTTGAAAGCTCTGCTAAAAATGCCACCTACCTTAGTACAAGTATCCAAAATTAAATAACATATGCAATAGGTTCATATTGAAATAAATTTCTAGAAAAGTGAAAACATCACCATGTTTTAATGTTTTGGCGGATGAGACTTCGGATGTTGGTAACATAGAGCAATTAATCATAGCAGTAAGGTTTATTGATGTGGAATTAGGTGATTTCAAATGAAGGAACTCTTTGTTCAATTTATTGACTTAGATAACACTAAATCAAAGACGATAGCCAAAGAAATTTTAGCATACCTTCAAGACCTAGATTTAAATATAAATCTAATGAGGCCAGGGATATGATGGAGCTCCCTCGATGAATGGTCACGTTAAAGGGGTGCAGTCAAGAATTAAAGAGTTTTATAACACAGCTCTATATGTTCACTGTAGTTATTATTGCCTAAATTTGATGATATATAAGGCATGCGAAATTTGAAACATCCGGAACAGTTTACGTTAAAATATTTTAATTTAATTGGAATTTTTTAGATTTTATTATGTATTATAGATATCTTTTTATAATTCTGATATATTTTTCAAATAGAAATAATATCCTCGGTTTGTGACTTTTTCACATCATTCAAGAAGAGACAGTTTTTTATCAGAACGTTTAATCATATTGATTCAAATAATCAAAAAAAAAACTAAAAAGTTTTTGTCCAACTAGATTTATTGAAAGAAAAATAATCAGTAAGACATTTCATCAAATTATATGAAATTATTTTTGCAGCGCTCGAATCCTATATCAAGCAAAGAAAAAGATTTCGTAGATTCTGAAAATCTTTTTCTAGCTTTACGAAGCCACAATTTTCAAAATCAATTCAATATATATATTTTTTATTTAATTATACATATGATCTGATTTTAGCAAAATGCTACAAAAAATTGATTTGAATTTAAGGGAGGTTATGGGCAAAGGATATTGTTGAAATATTAACAAATATCAGAGATAATGTGGATGAAAATTTCATTAAATATACGAGAAAGTAAAGAAGATCGCTAATATGTTTGGGATTGAAATTTTTAAACCTAAAGTAGTTTCTAGACAGTCCAATCGCTTAAATATTGATGCATCTACGATTGAGGAATTTTATACAATAGATATTTTCATTCCCCTTATTGATACATTTTTATTTCAATTAAAAGAAAGATTTACTAATCACAATTTTATTTTTAAAAGCTTGTATTTTCTTCTGCCGGTTGAGTCTGAATTGTTGATTACACTTCAAACGCGAGAAGATATTAAGAATATTCTGATGATTTATCAGGATCGTATGATAAGGTATTTTGTGATATCGATGGTATAAAAATTTTATAGAATAGAATACTCCTTTGAGACCAAAAAATGTTTTGCAGGCCCTTTCCATGTGTAATTGCACTTTAGATTCCCTGCCTATTTTTAAAAGTATTGCATTCATTTGCAATAAGAATTATTTATATTTTGATTCATTTGTATTAATTTTAATTGTTAAATTAAATTTTTTAAATACAGTACAAGAATTACTTATATTTTATTGAATTATATTTTTTTAAAAATAAGTTATTTACAATAAATTTTTAATATAATAAGCTGTATAAAATTTCTACATTTTGATTATTGTATATTATCATTAAAATAAATGCATAGTTAAATAAAGGGATGTTATTTATACTAAAGTATTTTAATAAATAAAATCTATAATGAAATTCTCTAAATTATTTTTAACATAAAAAATGGAAAGTTTGGGATTGGGAGGCAATTTTTTTTTCTTTATACACTGGATGGATTAATTTACAATTAATTGACTATGTTAAAATTTTTAGAATAATGGTTCCAGCCACTTATTAATCATAAATTTGGCCAAAATTCTTTTACTAATATTTTCCATTTACTCTGGCTACTATAGTGGTTAGACACTAATAAAGCACATTAAAATAAAGGTTTGGGGGGCGAATCCCCCAAAAAATTTTAACCCCCCCCCCTAAGGATGAATCCTGGCTACGCCACTGCCATCCGGATAGATTTTTTGCACGAGCTCGCAATGGGGACAAAATTTTTATTAGTATTAGGTCCGTCCTGTTTTTTATAAATGGAATTAGGGAATATATCACTTCACTTTAAATATAATTATATTCTAAATTTTATTTAATGAAAATATAAATATTTAGCAATACTTTGATAATTTAATGTATTCAATATCTTACAAAAAAACAAACTATAATATGAGATTTCCCACCTCCTTTTCTTTTAAATACTTGGTGCTTTTCTAATTGCTATATTCAATTAGGCAAAAAATATAATATATTACTATTTTTTGACTAGGAGACAGGTTTGGCTTATATGTTATTGTTAGCATTACACCCACCAGGAGATCTCACCAAGGGCCAGGTGTGAGGCGTTCTGAACAGAGTTGGGTATATTTTAAAAATCACCGTAGTTTTCTTTGTCTACGTTTATGCATTCAGATATCAAAAATTTCATATAATTCTTGCAATTTTTTATAAATTTTAGCTATTTTTATTCTAAGTTATTTAATAGTTGTTGTTTAATATAAACAAATTTAATAATCAATTAATTAATTTTGAATTCTTATTATAATTTTCCAACTTAAGGGAAAATCCCTAAAACTCAAGAATAAATACCAATAATTGTAGTGTTGTTATACGGCTCGTGAGCCGATTTTTAAAAACGGATAACTCAATATTCAAGTCAGAAAATATTGACTGTAAGCCTCGAGATTTCGCGAATAGATAGTGCCATCTATGACCAAAATCTTCAGGCTTGGGTAATATTATTCTGGATAAAATATTGAGTTAGCCCTTTTTAAAAATCGGTTCAAATCGAGCCGTTTAACAACACTAAATAATTGAAGAAAACACACAAATATTAACGCAATTTATATTACCATATTGCATTTTTGATATAATGATAATTGATGATGCAATCTACCTGATTTAATATGTTTTTTATAAATAATATTTCAAATATAAACAAATTTTAATGCTGATTTAATTCTAAAAAGCTAAAAACTGAAGTGGGCTATATAAATAATATAATCAGATAAAAACCATATTAATTGAACTAGAATATTAAAATTGAATATCTTATTTCACCAGAAGTTAAATAATATATATTAAATTTTGTTCTTTTAGGTTAAATCGAAATATCGATAATAATCCTTTCTTTCTTTTTAAGACTTACACTAAGGAATTTAAACTTAAAATCAACCACCTCCTACCCTCAAGGTAATTAAATTTGAAGTTTTCGGGTATAGGCATTTGTGTTGCCCAATTCTTCTTTCTTTTCTTAGCCTATGGACGTTCAAATAACAGTTCTCGGACTTTTGTAAGTTCAAGTACGTTCGGCTAACCCACAAACGTGTAGAGGGCTCCTTATTTTTCATCCAACTTAATTTAATCCAGTTAGATGGGAATGAGGAATACCCAACGTAGCTGTGTTCAGCCTTCGATGATATAGGGCATAAACATTTGAATCACGTATCAAATCAAGATTTATAAACTTAAGAATATAAAACATGAAATATTTTATATATCAATCCCTAAAATAATATTAAATGATATAATTACTCTTAAATATTTTATCAAAAATATATAGATACATAATTCCAAAACTCCTTGCTTGAGCCCAAACAACTTAAACAACACATGGCGTTAAATATATTATTATTGTGTAAATCCTTTTTACACATTTTATTTATGTATGATTTACAATAAAAATTATATTTTGCTAATATAACTAACTATTATATAACGTTTCTTGAGTACAATATCTAAATAAATGAATTGATTTTTTTTAGCAAAAGATTAAAAGGTAATGTTTCTGAAAGAAGGCAAGATAATATTTAAACATAAACAGTTTGAATACAAAGTTATATTAGATCGATTTTATAAAAATATAATATAATAGAATATTATACATAAATAAAAATGCTAAAATAAATTATTTGTAAAGAAATTATGAAATTTTATTCATTTGTTTAATGATAAATTTCGCTTTTTCATTATTATCGCATAAATTTCTTATAGCAAAAATGCACCATTGACTAATAACTAGATATATAAAGAAAAAATATTAAAATACACATATACACTAAGATTATTCACATTAGACATAGAATCAAAAAAATATCATATTTTTAACTTGATTAAGATTGAAAATTCGTAATAAATTAAAGTATGGAATAATATATTTTACAGAAATAAGAAATTGTATATACTTCATAATATTAAAAACATTTATTTAATCAAAACTTTGCTTATATTTCAAAAAATATAATATTAAAGTTGACTATTATATAAAATTGAAATCGAGTATCTTACATGGATTTAGATGATCAAATTTTGAGCTCGCCAGTATAATTTGCAACCCATCTTTTTGGATAATCTAATTATATAAAACATAAAGAATATTAGAACCAAAGTAACATTTAAGCTGGGATATATAATTAAATAATTTATTTTACTAATAAGGTCTCTGATAAAAAAAACGGAAGAATAATTTTGTTTATGAATATTTTGTAAATATTCCGAGGTCAAAGTCAGGGCTGTATTTAGATTAGATATGATGGGTGCTGATATTGTCCTTTTGAATATAATATAGGATAAGAATATTCGCAAAAAATAGATATACTTATTTTTTTAAAGTTTGTATAATTAGTAAGACCCATAAAATATAAGTAGCTATTATATTTATTTTGAGATAATCTTTTTTTTATAAAATAATTCCTTTTAAAATGTCATGCTTATTGCAAGCACTGTCTTATTTGGTTTGTTAATTAACCCGACAAAAGAAAACAATCTTTCAACGGATATGGTAAGATTGTGACAAAGCGGAGAAAGATCTCATAAATATCTGGATATCGCCTACATGAAATGAATGCAGCATCTCCAATTTTATTTAGTTTTTTATTATTAGAATTGGAGATGGAGTCCGTGGTTCGTGTTTGAACTACACCTTCATTAGCGAAAAGATTTTGCAACAATTTACACCTATATCATATGGATGGAAGATTGTACCCAAAAAAATTCGAATTAGAGATGGAGTTGCGGTTTTTAAAGAGCTATGTCTCATTTTGTAATTAAATTTAAAAAAGTTTTCTAAAATAACCTTTATCTAACACGCTTGAGGTACCATTTAAAGGAATAAATATTAAAGGTCTGGAATGGGCAATTTTTCAACCCGAACGCCTGCCTACCCTTGTTATAAAAATAAAATAACTCTTTGCCCATTTTCCACCCGCCCACCCGATAATGTTTAAAAATTATTATATTTGTCTACCCACGCCCATTCAATGGGTGGACTAAAATCCTGATATTTAGAGGTAGAGAACTGCACGGGCTGTCCATAGCCCGACCCGAGCCTCGGGTCGGGTTAGGACATCAAAAAAAATTTATCGGGTTCGGGCTCAGGTGGGGTTGTAAAAGCTGTCCGACCCGAAAATAAATAATAATATTAATATCTTAAATAGTCAGTATAATTTATAATATTAATTATAAAATCTTATTATTTAATATTTATCACATTTTAGGATTAAAATGTCAATTATATTAACATGTCATGTCATTATTAATTATTATTTTATAAACCTAACAACCGGATACCAAACTATTTTATCACTAAATTGTGTGTTTCCCGTGAATTACAAGATAAGACATATTTTATGTACTAAAGATAAGTTTTATTCATTATTTATCTAGCTTATAAATTGTCTTTTTTAACATTTGTTTTAAAAAATTTCCATATAAAATTTAAGATTGGGATTTGATTCAGGGGAATTTATTTCTATAATTTAAATTTCACTACCATAAATGTTAATCATCCTAGAAATTAAAAAATATTATATAAAATTGGTAATGATATTCTAAGTTACATTTATATATAAAATATAATCTTAACTTATTTCGTTTTGGTATTATTATTTTTTTTATCTATCTACCTTAATATGAGTTGTAAATTTTCCAGCTAATTTTGGTTGTCAATATTTTAAAATATGGCAGAAAAAAATTAGGAAATTAATACAAGATTCTCAAAGAAAATAAGATGTATACTGTGATATGTAAAATTTAAAACATGAATATTAAAAAGAATCTGTATCTTTTGTCAAGAAAATGAAAAAGATACAAGATTCTTTTCCGAATTAAGGATCTTAGATACAGATATTAGTATCTTATTAAAAATGTCAAAATATACTGAGTACAAGATATAAAGGGATCTTGTATCATGTATCTTAGATACAAGTATTCGCAGTACTGCCCAACTCTGTTTATTTAAATCTAATTGATTAAAGTCATTTTAAATATTTTTTTTAGATTTTAGACACAGCCATATTAAAAAAATTATCTCAATGGATGCAAAATTAAAAAGAATTGGTGAAAAGATTAAGACAAAAGAGTATGAAGTAAGGGAGAATCTTAATGGAAAATCCGATGTATGGAAGAAATTTTCATTTATATATGATGAAAATAAAAAAAAGCTTAATTATGTCATTTGTATTATATGCAAATTTATTTATGTATATAATTCAATAACAACAGGTTAGATATTTATACATAAAATATGATCTTATTAAATTATTTTAGGCACAAATCAACTTAAAAGACATAAATGTGTATATACAAGTACAACAGCAGAGAGTAAAAAGACACAATTAACAATTGATAGTCTTTTTGGTACTGATCCGAAAAAACTCAAAAGTTGTACAAAATTGAAAAAAGAGTGCACAAAGGTGCTTACTATGTTTTGCGGACGTGATTTGAGATCATTTGATACAATTCACGGGGAAGGCCTTGTTGATTGTTGCCAATATTTTGCCAAAATTGGTTCAATATATGGAAATATTGATGTTAAAAGCATCATTCCAAATCCTACGACAATTTCTAGAAATTTAGTAGATACTGCTGATGGTATCCGCAATAAATTATTTCCTATATTAAACTCATATGAAAAAGGGTCGATGTGCTGGTAACAAATTTATGAAAATATGGTTAAATTATTAATAATTTTTAATAGCCACCACAGACCTTGGACTGATGATTATAAAAAAAATATCATATGTAACTCTAACAATTCATTTTATAAATGATTCCTGGAAACTAAATAAAATTGTATTGTTTACATGCAAATTTGAAGAGGAAAAAATGACAGGGGAAAATATCAAAAAGGAAATTATTAGAAATTTCACCTTGTTAGGTATTGATTTCATTAAAAATATTTATAAAAATTCATGTATTCTTTGTATCAGGATACAGCAAAGCCTATTTATCGGAAATTCCAATTATTACCGACCAAGGAGCTAATATGATTAAAGCTTTTGAAAATCATAAGCGTTTAAATTGTGCTTCTCATCTATTAAATAGAGTATTGAGAAATACTTTTGATAACAAAAATATTGAATCTTGTTCGGAGATAAATCAATGTTTTAATGACTGTAAAAGTTTAGTAACGTATATGAAACAGAGTGGGTATGTTAAATTAACTTTTTATTAATATATATTAAACATTTTAGATTAGTTAATCGCCTCGATAAAACTCTCCACATGTGTGTTGAGACTAGGTGGAATAGTAGGTTGAATATGATTGAATCGATCTTTAATCAATTTAATGACATATTGGAAATCCTCAATTCCAGAGGAGAGTCGATTAGACTTGAAAATATTGATTTTGAAATGATGAGGAATCTGATCAAGTTTCTGACGCCTTTTAAAATTGCGAGTGATGAACTTGAGAGTGATTTAAAACCTACTATTCACAAAATTATTTTATGTTATCATAAAATATTGAGTTTTTTAGCTAATCCTAGCTTAAACTATCAGCTAAACCAGCTTTCATTAAGATGCCGGGAAATATTGGTGGATAAATTTAAAATAGATTTATTCCACCAAATTTCGACGTTTTTGTGCCCAAAATTTCGGGATATGAAAATGTTATCCCGGGAACATTATAAAGATTTGTGTCAACATATCAACACGTTGATTAATGCAGAGAAAATCAACAGAGATGTGATTGAGCAAAAGTCTTTAAACAACTCACCATCTAACTCGTGCTCAACCGACAGAGTAGTAAATAAAGGTTTATTAAATTAATAATAAAATTATTTATTAAAAAATAATAAAGTTAATATATATCTTAATATTATTAATGAATATTTTTTTCTTAAGAAACTACAGAGGTGGTAGATACGTTTTTGGACTTCTCTCTATGGGAGGCTGACAATGCGTATTCTGATGCTAGCGCCGAAGTTGACGAGCTAAAAAAATACCTAGATCCGAAATTATGTATTGATGACGATAATATTTTAAAATGGTGGAAAACAAACCATTATGAGTTTCCAAATTTAAGTATTTTAGCTCTTAAATTCCTGGCTATCCCTGCTTCGTCGGCTAGCAGTGAAAGGGCGTTTTCCGCTGCTGGTAGGGCCTTTGAGGAGAGAAGGACTCGTTTAAAGCCAGGTAAACTGGACGCCTCTTTATTTATATATCATAATTATTAACTTTGTGATAATTCTGATAATGATATTGATGAGGTCAATATAATATAATATGTTCATTATATTTTTTATATATTTATTAACTTTTATATCATATCCATATTCGCATAAATGATGCATATTGTATTATATAATCGTTATAATTTTTAAATTCGCTTGTATATTAATCGTTTTATAATATTTTTTACAAATTTAATAAAATGCAACTTAATATATATCTTGAATAGATTATGGCCGTCAAATAAACTTTTATTTAAGGTGGCTGAACTGAATAAATACACATAAATTCTTTTTTGGTTATTATAATATTAAAACTTAAATTGCAAAATTTTATTCGGGCTCGGGTCGGGTTGGACTAAAAAATGTGTGCTCGGGCCGGGTTCGGACAAAAAAATTTTTAAATTCGGGCTCGGGTTGCGAAAAAATTACTTTGCAGTTCTCTAGTTACAGGCCTTTAATGATGATCTCATCTTTTTCATCGATCGATCAAGAACATTTTGCAGTGATCCATCATCTAGGGAAATTCTAAATGGATTGAGATTTCAACAAATAACAGGATTAAAAATTTAAAACGAACTAACAAATTTTCCGCTTTTTTGTATTAAAGAAATAAAAAATGTAACTCTTAGATTACTAAAATACCTATCAAAATTATGTTCAACCTAACTTAACGTTGAAACTTATATTAAAATATTGCGTTACTGTCCATGTCTGAATTAGATGTGAATATGGTCCTAATTTTTAATTCATGACCTGCTCACTCACGCTGGCAATAAAAAATTTACGCCAATTACGTTCAATGCTAAAAATATTTTCAAAATTTTTATAACGCATGAAAAATTTAAAGATCAATCTTTTTCTAAACTTTTCAGAGCATGCTATTATTTTTACACTTTTCAAATTTATTTAATTTTACTTTAATTTTTTTATTATTTAAATATTATAATTATCTCTTTTTATATCCATAATTCCATACAAATACAAAAAATAGCAATAAAATAATTTTATACATTTTTGTAGTAATTAAGAATTATTCTCATGTCATATTTAAGAATACCAATATATTTTTTAATTACTTAAGTCTTTTTTCTAGTAAACCAATATTTGTAGAGAACTGCAAAGTAATTTTTTCGCTAACCGAGCCCGAGTTTAAAAATTTTTTTGTCCGAGCCCGGCTCGAGCACACATTTTTTAGTCCAACCCGACCCGAGCCCGAATAAAATTTTGCAATTTAAGTTTTAATATTATAATAACCAAAAAAGAATTTATGTGTATTTATTCAGTTCAGCCACCTTAAATAAAAGTTTATTTGACGGCCATAATCTATTCAAGATATATATTAAGTTGCATTTTATTAAATTTGTAAAAAATATTATAAAACGATTAATATACAAGCGAATTTAAAAATTATAACGATTATATAATACAATATGCATCATTTATGCGAATATAGATATGATATAAAAGTTAATAAATATATAAAAAATATAATGAACATATTATATTATATTGACCTCATCAATATCATTATCAGAATTATCACAAAGTTAATAATTATGATATATAAATAAAGAGGCGTCCAGTTTACCTGGCTTTAAACGAGTCCTTCTCTCCTCAAAGGCCCTACCAGCAGCGGAAAACGCCCTTTCACTGCTAGCCGACGAAGCAGGGATAGCCAGGAATTTAAGAGCTAAAATACTTAAATTTGGAAACTCATAATGGTTTGTTTTCCACCATTTTAAAATATTATCGTCATCAATACATAATTTCGGATCTAGGTATTTTTTTAGCTCGTCAACTTCGGCGCTAGCATCAGAATACGCATTGTCAGCCTCCCATAGAGAGAAGTCCAAAAACGTATCTACCACCTCTGTAGTTTCTTAAGAAAAAAATATTCATTAATAATATTAAGATATATATTAACTTTATTATTTTTTAATAAATAATTTTATTATTAATTTAATAAACCTTTATTTACTACTCTGTCGGTTGAGCACGAGTTAGATGGTGAGTTGTTTAAAGACTTTTGCTCAATCACATCTCTGTTGATTTTCTCTGCATTAATCAACGTGTTGATATGTTGACACAAATCTTTATAATGTTCCCGGGATAACATTTTCATATCCCGAAATTTTGGGCACAAAAACGTCGAAATTTGGTGGAATAAATCTATTTTAAATTTATCCACCAATATTTCCCGGCATCTTAATGAAAGCTGGTTTAGCTGATAGTTTAAGCTAGGATTAGCTAAAAAACTCAATATTTTATGATAACATAAAATAATTTTGTGAATAGTAGGTTTTAAATCACTCTCAAGTTCATCACTCGCAATTTTAAAAGGCGTCAGAAACTTGATCAGATTCCTCATCATTTCAAAATCAATATTTTCAAGTCTAATCGACTCTCCTCTGGAATTGAGGATTTCCAATATGTCATTAAATTGATTAAAGATCGATTCAATCATATTCAACCTACTATTCCACCTAGTCTCAACACACATGTGGAGAGTTTTATCGAGGCGATTAACTAATCTAAAATGTTTAATATATATTAATAAAAAGTTAATTTAACATACCCACTCTGTTTCATATACGTTACTAAACTTTTACAGTCATTAAAACATTGATTTATCTCCGAACAAGATTCAATATTTTTGTTATCAAAAGTATTTCTCAATACTCTATTTAATAGATGAGAAGCACAATTTAAACGCTTATGATTTTCAAAAGCTTTAATCATATTAGCTCCTTGGTCGGTAATAATTGGAATTTCCGATAAATAGGCTTTGCTGTATCCTGATACAAAGAATACATGAATTTTTATAAATATTTTTAATGAAATCAATACCTAACAAGGTGAAATTTCTAATAATTTCCTTTTTGATATTTTCCCCTGTCATTTTTTCCTCTTCAAATTTGCATGTAAACAATACAATTTTATTTAGTTTCCAGGAATCATTTATAAAATGAATTGTTAGAGTTACATATGATATTTTTTTTATAATCATCAGTCCAAGGTCTGTGGTGGCTATTAAAAATTATTAATAATTTAACCATATTTTCATAAATTTGTTACCAGCACATCGACCCTTTTTCATATGAGTTTAATATAGGAAATAATTTATTGCGGATACCATCAGCAGTATCTACTAAATTTCTAGAAATTGTCGTAGGATTTGGAATGATGCTTTTAACATCAATATTTCCATATATTGAACCAATTTTGGCAAAATATTGGCAACAATCAACAAGGCCTTCCCCGTGAATTGTATCAAATGATCTCAAATCACGTCCGCAAAACATAGTAAGCACCTTTGTGCACTCTTTTTTCAATTTTGTACAACTTTTGAGTTTTTTCGGATCAGTACCAAAAAGACTATCAATTGTTAATTGTGTCTTTTTACTCTCTGCTGTTGTACTTGTATATACACATTTATGTCTTTTAAGTTGGTTTGTGCCTAAAATAATTTAATAAGATCATATTTTATGTATAAATATCTAACCTGTTGTTATTGAATTATATACATAAATAAATTTGCATATAATACAAATGACATAATTAAGCTTTTTTTTATTTTCATCATATATAAATGAAAATTTCTTCCATACATCGGATTTTCCATTAAGATTCTCCCTTACTTCATACTCTTTTGTCTTAATCTTTTCACCAATTCTTTTTAATTTTGCATCCATTGAGATAATTTTTTTAATATGGCTGTGTCTAAAATCTAAAAAAAATATTTAAAATGACTTTAATCAATTAGATTTAAATAAACAGAGTTGGGCAGTACTGCGAATACTTGTATCTAAGATACATGATACAAGATCCCTTTATATCTTGTACTCAGTATATTTTGACATTTTTAATAAGATACTAATATCTGTATCTAAGATCCTTAATTCGGAAAAGAATCTTGTATCTTTTTCATTTTCTTGACAAAAGATACAGATTCTTTTTAATATTCATGTTTTAAATTTTACATATCACAGTATACATCTTATTTTCTTTGAGAATCTTGTATTAATTTCCTAATTTTTTTCTGCCATATTTTAAAATATTGACAACCAAAATTAGCTGGAAAATTTACAACTCATATTAAGGTAGATAGATAAAAAAAATAATAATACCAAAACGAAATAAGTTAAGATTATATTTTATATATAAATGTAACTTAGAATATCATTACCAATTTTATATAATATTTTTTAATTTCTAGGATGATTAACATTTATGGTAGTGAAATTTAAATTATAGAAATAAATTCCCCTGAATCAAATCCCAATCTTAAATTTTATATGGAAATTTTTTAAAACAAATGTTAAAAAAGACAATTTATAAGCTAGATAAATAATGAATAAAACTTATCTTTAGTACATAAAATATGTCTTATCTTGTAATTCACGGGAAACACACAATTTAGTGATAAAATAGTTTGGTATCCGGTTGTTAGGTTTATAAAATAATAATTAATAATGACATGACATGTTAATATGATTGACATTTTAATCCTAAAATATGATAAATATTAAATAATATGATTTTATAATTAATATTATAAATTATACTGACTATTTAAGATATTAATATTATTATTTATTTTCGGGTCGGGTCGGGCTACGGACAGCCCGTGCAGTTCTCTAAATATTTGATATGGAAAATAATCGTTCTAAAACGGAACTGGTGAGGCTGGCAATATTAGCTACTTTTCAGAAAAAAAAGAAAGGATTTTAAAAAAATTGAAAAACATGTTCAGGCTATTATTTCAAATTTTAAAAAAATCCAACAATCTATTAAATTTTTTTTGCTAAATAGGTCAAATTTCTTTAATTTTATAAATAAACAAAATCAAGTTTTGGAAATAGTCTAGTCTCCTAAAGTAGTTTCTTGGAGTGAGGGGCTATTTTGCTTATAAAATTTATCAGGAAAGATAAGATGTTTTTTCAAAGATATTACTTTTCCTAAAATAATTTAATTTAATAAATATTTATTTATAGTTATTAAATTAAAAAATAATATTTCTAAAAATAAATCATTTTAAAAATTAAATTTTCTATGATTCATGCAAAATTTCCATTAAAATTCAATCAAGCATGTTTTTGTAATGTCTATCATGGTTCGAAATTCATTCCAACTTCCAATTGGGTGATGGGAATATTCACAGCCCAGGTCAACCTCTAGTCTAAATATATATTTCAAAAAGTAACTTGTGCTTGTAACAATGGATTTGTGTATGCTATATTGGCCAATATTTGGACTATCAGTGTTTTAATATTTGATAAAGGATGTTCATAATTAGAAAGATCTTTCAGTCTATCCAACTCTTTTATTGTTGAAATAGATGGGTCAGCATGATTTAAATCATTTAAAAAGTCTTGAGTTTATTTGTATAATATATTTTTGATGTAGTATAATCCTCAATATTATTTATTTACCTAGTATCCAAACAAATTCTTCAAAAGAATCCCATTTATTAAAATAGTGTTGTGAAGATAGTGAAGCAAAAAATACTAAGTAATTCTTAATATAACAGGATTTGTCTATTGCTGATAAATAATCTTGAATTACAAGTTGAGAATTTCTATTTTTCAATTCTTTAAATTTATTATATTCTTGAGGTAAATATTTCAAGATGCCCATAACAAAACTTGTAGTTAATTTGTCCATTAAATCTTTAGTCATTTCTTGAGAATTCAGCATAGAGATATATAGTTTTATAAAATGATTTCTAAAGAATTTAAATTTAAAATAATATTCAATAATTATATAACTTGATTATGGGTAATAACATTGGGTAAATGATATAAAATTTTGAGTGAGCTAGTATTTTTTGAGCAAAGTCCATTCTATTGTGAAAATAAACAGTCATTATTTTATTCATTTTTAAATGCCATTAATATTATTGATTATATAGTAAAATGAATCATTCTTTTTGCAAAAATTAAAAGGCCATATTTATTCTAAACCTAATTGGGGAAATAAAATATCTATTCTAAAATGAAATAATATAATAAAAATTTAAATATTAGGAGATCATTAGATTAGATATTAGCAAGGTTCAGCCCACGAAAATTTGTGAAGAAGTTTTTTTTAGCTCAGCCTGTGTATAAAATAATATTGCCAATAATAATTTTTTATGAAAGAAGTAGTGTTAATAAATGTCTTAATTTTTAAAAATTGCTATCACAATATTTTAGTCAAAAATGATTAAGCAAGCTTGGAGATTTTGCTAGATGGTAGATAGATTTGGGCATTTATAAACAAAATTTCAAAGTCTGTATTATTTTATTTTATCTAAAATCTTAATTCAAAATTAGACAATTTAACAATACTAGAATCTATTTTGCTTTATAAGATGAGTTAAAAAATGTTTTTTTTTAAATTAAATAAAAAAATGGTAACATACTAAAATTTTTAAAAAAATATTTTTTTTACATGACTAAACTATATGCCCACTATCAAAGAAGCTCAATTCATAAAAATTAACGCAAAATCATATATTTATTACAAGGAATCAAAAAATGTTAATATTATATTTTAATTTTATAACTTATTAAAATTTTGAAAAAACCTTTAATTTCCTTTTTTTTTGACTAAACTACGTGCCCCCTATGCACCATTGGTGAATATTATTTTTAAAAAATGAATACAGAATCAAGTTTAGTTTTTAAGTTTTTCAGAAAATAATATTATTCATTTTTTTGGGGGAAAAAACTAAACTACGGGCCCCCTATCAAAGAAGCTTAATTCATAAAAATGAATGCAGAATCATATATAGCTTATTAAAAGGAATCAAAAAATGTTAATATTATATTTTATAACTTATTAAAATTTTGAAAAAACACTTAATTTCTTTTTTTTTGGACTAAACTACACCACCCCTAAGCACTGTTGGTAAATATTATTTTTAAAAAATGAATATAGAATCAAGTTTAGCTTTTTCATTTTTTTAACGCCCACTATCAAAGAAGCTTAATTCTTAAAAAATTAAAGCTCATATTAGGCTCATTAAAAGGAATCAAAAAATGCTAATATTAAGTTTATAAATTATTTATAACTTATTGGTATTTTGAAAAAACACTTAATTTCTTCTTTTTACAAAATTTCAATAAGTTATAAAAATGTTAAAAATATAATATTAACATTTTTTGATTCCTTTTTATAAGCTATATATGATTCTGTGTTCTTTTTTATGAATTAAGATTCTTTAGTTTAGTCAAAAATATTTTTTTTGATAATTAAAATTTTTTTTAAAAAAAAATAGCATTTTCTCAATCTCCTTGAAAAGCTAAACATAATTCTGTATTATTTTTTTTTAAATAATGTATATTTACTGGGGGTATGTAGTTTGGTCAAAAAGAGAAGAAATTGAGTGTTTTTTTCCAAAATACCAATAATTTATAAACTTAATATTAACATTTTTTGATTCCTTTTAATGAGCCTAATATGACCATGCTTTAAATTTTTATGAATTAATTCTTTGATAGAGGGTGCAGCCAAAAAAAAGTTTTTCCAATAATTAAATTTAAAAAAAAAAATGAATAATACCATCTTCTGAATCTCCTTGAAAAACTAAACATGATTCTGTATTGATATTTTGAAAAATAATGTATATTATTCACTGAGGGCATGTATGGGCACACAGTTTAGTCAAAAAAAAAGTTTTTTCAAAAGCCCACTAGGTTATAAAAAGTTTTAAAATATAATATTAACATTTTATGATTCCTTATGTTTTCATATTTTATAAATTAAGCTTCTTTGATATGGGGCACTAGTCATATAAAAAAATATTTTTTTAAAAATTTTACTAAGTTACCATTTTTTTAAAAAAATTAAGAACATTTTTGAACTCATCTTATAAAGCTAATAAGATTCTATATTGATACGAGGGTGATTTTAGTTATGCCCCCTAAATTTTCTATAATAAATATAATCAATTTACTTAAAGTAAGTTTTTTTTATACTAATTCTTCTTATTTTAAAAGAGGTGAGGAATAAATTTTTTACTGGTAATAAATATCAAAAACTTGATCCTGAGTTTCAATTTGAGTGAAAATATAATTGACATATTCTATTTCACAAATATAATCTGAAGGTGTACTGTCATCTTCCATAAAATTAAAATAGTAATTAAACAAAGCAGCATTCACATATTTACATAGCTTTGAATTTATTTTATCACAATTAGTAATTATATTTCTAAAAACAAAATAATATATATTATAATTTGATAATCTAAATACTTTGATCTCCAGCAAAAATATGATGGAACATTGTTTTCAGTATTTACTATGCAGAAAATATTTGCAAAAAATTGATATAACCTTTGTAAAGCCAAAACATGTTCACCTATTATAAGTATATGAAATAATTTTAAAAAAATATTTAATACTAATTTTTTCATTATTTTCATAGTGATTTATTAATTTTAAATAAATGGACCATATTAATTTTTGATTATTTTTCCTATAATAAATATTTTATAAAATTAATTAAAATAACTTACCATATTCGAGAAGCTTTTTGCCCGTTTTCACAAGCATTTCTCCAAATCTCAACAATATCTGAAATTTCGTTGAAGTTAATATTCATTTTATAATAAAGAGGGTAAAGATTCAATTATTATTGATTCATATATTTTAATGTTTTCCCTATTAATATGTGTTAAAGCAAAGCAAAATAGAAGATCTTGCTTAAAATTAAATAATGTATGTAGCCTTCGATATAGCAAAGTAGAGAGCATTGTGTATTCAACATTATCATTTCCTGCTAGAATAATTGGATCTAAAACTTCTGAGTATTCCGTTGATTTTATTTTTATGATTGTATGTATTTTTGAAAATTCTGTTAATGTAATAATAATCGTATTGTCAAACACATTAATAAGCAAATCTAAAATGGTTTCATTAATATTGTAAGATTTTGTTATATTTTTAAAGGGAAGCATTTTAAACTGCGTAATATCGAAACTGTCAATTACTCTTTTTTTTTCTTTTTAGCTTTCACTTTTTTCTGGTGATAAGCTCCTTCAATATCTCTCCATTTTATGTTATTCATGCTATCTCTTTTATCCAATTTATATTTCTTCATATTGGCTCTAAATTTATGAACCTATTGAAATTTTGGCATACTCTTTTACATTTGATAATCACTTCCAATCTCTTACCTTATTGCTTATATACTTTATAGGCCTTCTCATTGTGTGCCCATACCACCTAAGTCTGTTCACCATTATCTTAGTCTTTATACGCACTACCTCTGAACTTCCTAGTATTCTTGTACTTCGCACCTTATACTTTCTTGATACCCCAGCAATCATCCTCAGCATTCTCATCTCCATAGACTTCTCTAGTCTGATTCTTTGGTTGCCCAGCCATGTTTCCGAACTATATCGAATAGTTGGTTATACTATGGAATTGTAAATTTTTCCCTTCTGGGATTCTTTTGTCAACGAGCACTCCAGATAAAGATCTCCACTTTAATCACCTTTAATTAATTTTACTCTTTATCTCTTTCTCTATTGTGCCATTTGTTTGTATAGAGGAGCACAAATATTTGCAGCTTTCAATTGCCGATATCTGTCATTCATTTATATAAATGTTCTCTGTATCATCTCCTCCTATCACCATATACTCCGTCTTTTCTCTGATTACTTTGAGTCTGTGCTTTTCTAGGATATTTATCCAACCTCACTAATCTTCATTTTATCCTTGGATTCGGCAAGTATCACAATATCTTAAGCAAATATCATATTCCACAGGACTGTTTGCGGTATTGACTGTGATAATACATCTATTACTGTTATAAAGAGAAGTTGGCTGAGAGCCGACCCTTGATGAACTCTCTCGGTTATTGTGAAGCCTACCGAAGTACCAGTTATGCTATGGACCATTGTTGTATAGACCTTATACATATTCTGTATTATTCTTATATATTTTTCGTACTTTATGGTAATTATAATTGATATCTTTGATAGTCTAACGCATTGGGGGGGGGGGGGCAGCAGGGTTGCCAGGTAAAAATTTTCAAATTGCGGGAGAAATTTGGTATTTGCGGGAAAAATATAAAAATTGCGGGAGAAATAAAAAATTTGCTAAAAAAGGCCCGCAAAATCCCGGCCGGATTTATTTAAATTATCCGCCTATTATTTTTTATAATTTTTCAAAATAAAATAACATCTTGATTTATTAAAATATATTAATTTATAAAAAAGAATGTAAACAAGATAAAATTTAATAAAAAAACAAACGATTTTAATTTTACAATGTAAAAATATATTTTATGCGAATGTTCCGCAAAACATCCGCAATTGGAAATCTACCTTGTATGTGTGTATAACATTATAGGGATAGGCGCTTAATTATCACGTTACTCATTTCAATGATAATTATTTTATTTATTATTGTTCAATCACATTATTATAATCATTGCAGGAGAGTGTATCTACATCCATTGCAAAACAAAAATATTCTCCAAAAATAAGAAATAATACAGATGCAACTACGGTTGCAGCAATTGTAATCACTTATCTTGTAGTACAACATTCATAGAGCTACTTATCATTACAATGTTGATAGAATCTTTCCCCATAATATTTAACGACTCCAAGATAAATGAAAACTTTATTTGTAGAACAAAAATGAGCAAGGATATCATCAATGTTTTAAAATCTGAATTTAGGAGGTCAATTCTTGACGATTTGAAAGATGGGTATACATATGCAATTCTAACCGATGCATCTAATAAGGGGAATATTAAAATATTTCTTTTGATCCTTCGCTATTTCAACAAAATTAAGGATTTTTCAAGAAAACTATTAATTTTTTTCCCCTCAAATAGTGAAAAATACAGAGACATAGCTAACCATATAATGGTAAATATAGCAGATTCTGGATTATCAATAAATTACATGTCAACTTTCTGATCTGATAATGCCTTAGTGAATTTGGGAAAAACCAGAGTGTATTTACAAAATTGAGTCAGAGCACAATGTTGGTTGCGATATGTTCCTAATACCCGCCATCTATATATTCTTAAAATTTTATAAACTTTTAAAAATATATTTCTTAAATAAAGATTATAAAAGCTGTCCTAACATTTCGAAAATTTTTTTCAATAATGAATGGCAGATGTGTATTTAGGATTGATTTCACATGTAGGAAATCTACTACATGCTGATAAGGTGCAGTTGCAATCAGAAGAATCTTAACAAAGATTCACAAAATTATGCTGCAGATGTGTTCTTCTTTACAGTTAAAAATTGACAATAAATTTTATGGCGTCATTGATAAAACTATATTAAAATATATTTTAAAAATACCGATAGACATTGATGTCTTGCCTGAGGAGATTGTAATGTTCTCTATTTTTGATTTGCAATGTAAAAAATATATTTATTTTATGCGAATGTATAAATAAGATTTTAAAAATATAAAAAAAATATGGTAAACTAAATAGTTATAATGTTAATTATATTGTATTTGAGATTTAAATAATGGAACTAAACGTTTACCGTCGTTAGTGAGATATTTATAAAATTCATGGCATGACATATTATAAATATGTTTAACCATTAGCTCGGCGTCTAATGTTGTTAAAGCAATCCGATTTCTCTCCTTTTTTCAGGCAGTCCTCATCAGGCTAAAAATGCGCTCGGATGAAGCATTAGAATGAGGTAAGGAGAAGACACTAGCATATTTTTTCCAAGCATAGGGATTTATTGTTATTACAAAAAAATTCAACCCATTTCTCCTCTACTTTTAGACCATCTAGCTTTAAGTATTCTGGCTAATCATAAAAAATAGAGAGAAAAACAATCTCCTCAAACAAGACATCAATGTTTTTCAGTATTTTTAATATATTTATTAAATTACAAAAATCATCAATTGATGGTTTCTGTTCCAAGGTCATATTTATACATTTGTAAATTGAGTAGTTAAAATTTTTGATTGTAAATTTTCTAAAATTGTCTTAATAAAAATATCTGCTTCATTCAAAAATATATTAATTAGAGTATTATTTGATCATTTTAATATAATATTTTTAGCAATAGGGCCATAACATTTATTATCAATTTTTAACTGTAGAGATGAACAGAGCTGTAGCATGATTTTGTGAATCTTTATTAATAAAGAATATTCTGATTACAACTGGATATTAACTGCATAAAATAGATTTCCTACATGTGAAACGAATCCCAAATATGCTTCTGCCATTTCATAATCCAAAAAATATTTCAAAATTTTAGGACAGCTTTTAAAATCTTTATTTAAAAGGTATTTTTTTAAGGGTTTGTAAAATTTTAAAATTCTATCGATGGCAAGTATTAATGATAACCACCTGATAGATACATATCGCAAAAACTCACAACATTCCAAGTCAGACCACTCCACCAACTCTTTTATTTCATTAACTCTTTTAGTTGATGAACTAAATTCGTTAAAACATTTCATCACAAGTATTTCGATATCCATAGATAGTACATTTATTGCCTTCTTGCAAGAATCATGTTGTATATGACATATACAGACAATTGTTATTAATTCATTATTGTGCTGCCTCAATTAGGTAAATACACATTAGTTTTTGCCAAATTTTACAGAGGCATTATCAGCGTAGATAGCTGACATACAATTCATTTATAACCCTGAATCAGCTAGATTTACATTATGTGGTTAGCTACATCGTTGGATTTTTCACTATCCGAGGTATATAATTTAACAGTTTTATTGAAATGTTCTTATTCTAGTTGAAATAGAAAAGGATCAAGGGAAATGTTTTAATATTTTCCTTATTAGATGCTGTTAGAATTGCATATGGATGCTCATCTTTCAAATCGTCTAGAATTGACCTCTAGGATTCAGGTACTAAAACCAAGTAAGGTTTGCACTTATATTAGAGTCATTATATATCATGGGAAAAAGATTCGACCAACATTGTGATGATATAGCTCTTTGAATGTTAAACTACATAATAAGTTTATACGATTTCCGCAGCTGTAGTTGCATCTGTATTATTTATTATTTTTGGAGAATATTTTTGTATTGCAATCGATATTGATATACGATATACTCCCCTATACTGACTTATATGAATGAAATGATGTTGATTTATTATTGGATAAAAATAAAACAGGATAAAAAGAAATTTACAAATTAGACATGTTTTTCGAAATATTAAAAATTTATTTTAAAAATATAAAAATAATCAATTACCGTCTCTCAAAATTATTATTTATATATTAAAAACGTTAAAATACTTTTTAAAAACATTGCGGGAGAAATTAAAAAATTGATTTTTGCGGGAGATTTCCAATTGCGGTAGTTTTGCGGGAGAGAGATGTCTGCGTGTAAACTAAAAAATTGCGGGAGTCTCCCGCTGATGAGGGTAGACATGGAAACCCTGTATATACCTATCAGGTGATTGTCATTATTACCTGCCATCGATAGAATTTTAAAATTTAACAAACCCTTAAAAAAATACTTTTCTAAAATAAAGATCTTAAAAGCTGTCCTAAAATTTTGAAATATTTTTTCGAGTATGAAATGGCAGAAGCATATTTGGGATTCGTTTCACATGTAGGAAATCTACTTCGTGCAGTTAATATTCAGTTGCAATCAGAATATTCTTTATAAAAAAGATTCACAAAATCATGTTACAGCTCTGTTCATCTCTACAGTTAATAATTGATAATAAATTTTATGACGCTATTGTTAAAAATATTATATTAAAATGTACAAATAATACTCTAATTAATACATTTTTAAATGAAGCAGATTTTTTTATTAAGACAATTTTAGAATATTTACCATCAAAATTTGATTTTAATAACTCTATTTACAAATGTATAAATATTATGACCTTAGAACAGAAACCATCAATTGATAGTTTTTATAATTAATAAAAATATTAAAAATACCGAAAGACATCGATTTCTTGTTTGAGGAGATTGT